TTTACATCATTAAAAATAGTGCTAAACAATATTATTGCTGCTAAAAATCGACGATATTGACCAATGAAGATGTTTCCGGGTGATTATTAAGGAGAAATATATGAAATCCATTGGTCACGCTATGGACGTAGTTACGTTGACTTTTACTACTGTTATTACTCTTCTATTTACTTATAACTTATACTATTCCATTAAATTTAATTCAAATAACAGAAAAATAAAATTGGCTGTATTAAAGAAAAAATAATAGTTATAAACTGTAATTTTTTTTTATAAAAAAAAAAATAAATTTAAAAAATCATCGTAAAATTACAAGTGAAAAAATGTTTTGCTGATTTAATTCCACGATTTTTTTTTTAAATTAATTTTTTTACATATTTTCTGATGTTACATATCAAAATAATAGTTTGCATTGAAATTTATTATAAGAACAATTATTTATTGAGAATTATGCAAAAACTTTTTCTTTCAACATAATACTTTCTTTTTTGTTTCAATATCATTTTTTAAAAAAAGAACTGATCTTTTCTATATTAATGTAAAACATTCAAGGGTTAATTATTTTCAGTAGACCAACTTTTAATATTTCTCTTATTATTTGCTGGTAATTAAAAAAATACTTAACTTTGATGATAAAATTTACATAGTTGAATGCATCGTTGATGCGGGAGTGTTAGATCCAAGACCCAATGGAATTGCCATGAACTTATCAATATACAAGGATGAATAATTTCTTTCTGTTTCATTTTCTCAATAGACCAGCATTTTAAATTTCCAGAGATTTAATGTGAAACAGTTAAGATTGAATGAATTTAAGACATAATAAATATTTCCATAAATTAAAAAACCAAGAAAACCTCAATTTAAAAGAACAAAAAACGCATGATGATAAAATAAAATAATAATAAGGAAAAAGACAGTTTTGTGTATCTCACAAACTGCTACAGTATTCATAATTTTTTTATTTCACTTTCGAGAGAAGCTTTTTTCTCTGTGGTCGTCGTGTTTCATCTGACACAAGGGATCAATGTTAGACAGTAAAAGATATGTTCTTTCAAAATGCCAAGAGCAATAGAGTGAAGAAAGAAACATTGGAGCAACAAAAGAGAATACAATAATGTAATGTCAGAGATTGGTCATCTTTACTACAGTACTTGTAAAAAGTATTCTCTACATGCTTTTTATTATCATTATTTCTTGCTTTTATTTCACATTTTTATGCATAATTATTCTCATTCGAACAGATAAATTAAAAATAAAACTTGGAAACAATTTTTTAAATACCATAATATCTAATTAGATCAGTATTGTAGAGCTTTTAAATACTGCAAAATTAGATTAATTTCAGAGTGAACAAATACAGTCAGTTTTTATATTACAATAAGTAGATAGAAATTTAATTAGATCTAGAATTTAATTACACTTAGACCTGCTTCGGATAAAATAGTTCTAATATGTCTGGACCAATATGATCCTCAATATAATTAAATCTATTTAAATTCAACTAAACTGCTTTCAGATCTAACTGAATCTCGAATCTAATACTCAAATTCTGATCTCACTTGATCTAATTAAATCTAGAAAATTTCTTTGAAAGTTTTAGCAGTATGGTTATAGCATGTCTAATATTTTATTTTAAATTAAAAGCTATCAAAACTTTTCCAAGAATTTCTACATCCCTTGTAAGATTATTTATCATAAAACACAATACTTTCAATCACATATGTTCTCGATATTTTCTAATAAACTTATATTCAATCATTTCTTTAGATTCAAAGAGAAACATTTATCATAGTATGTGCAAATAATTCTCGATAAATAACCTCTATCCAGAAGATGGAATGCAGTGATGACATTTGTAGGTGAATAAACCATCAGACTCTCTGGGATCTAAAAAAAAAACCTTTAGAATTTTTTTCTAGAATATTTTAAGTTTGGAATATTTGCATATGCCATCTACAGTATCATAAGGAATAAGAATCTTATTGAGTGTCACTATCAGCAATACAAACATGATTATCATTGATATGAACATAATGTTTTTTACTGTATGTAGTTAGGATAATATATTAGTTACTAGACAGGATACTTTTAACCTTTAGTTTATTTTCCACAACCAAATAATGAACTTAGCCCTACCCTATCAATTTATTTTTTTGGCAAAAACGTTTTTCGTAACTGACAGCCAACTTAAAATAAGCTCCCTAAGTGTGACATTTTTTGCCTGGACTGTATTTTGGTTGAGTGGTATTTGTTCAATAAAAGAAAAGTAGAGACGAATCAAGACAAGAAGAAACGACAGTTAAGACAAAGGCATGAAAAACTAGAGTGAAGATGATTGTCACAAAAGTAAGAGGTAGAAGTAACGACTAAATATACTATACAAAATAAAGTCTATACTCACGTGTTGGAAAAAAAGACAATATAAACCTTTGGCCTTTAGATATGTATCCAACCTTCATTTCTTCATTGGATAAGTTGACTCATTTATTTTTGTTTTGTTTTTCTGTCTACTGAATTTAACGAAGAAAAATGAGACTTTGAATGCTTTAAGTCGAAAGAAAAAATTTATCAGCTTTACTTTCAGTGATTTGAGAAAATCACCATTAGCTTTGAAACTCAGTAACTTCTAGGTTCCAATACAATGTATTCAGAATAAATCTGTATCTGTAGGAACGATCCAATGAATGTTGTATCTACATTATTTAACGATAGTATAATTGCTTGTACCAGTGTAATTTTCATTAATATAATTGTAGGTTTGAATTTGCCTTGGATGGAGAACCATATATCTGAAAGAGGAGTTGAAGGTAGCAAGAAATCAAAATTCATTGAAGCTTCCAGATTTAACGAAAAGCCGTGTTTACTTCGATTTATGTTTCATTCAGAAATTGGCAAATAGAAACATCTGAGATACTGGAGTTAACGAAGTGACTGATGCTTGAGGTAAGTTTAAAGGAGAAGAGATTGTTTCGAATCTCAAATTTTGATGGGAATCACATCAAGTATTCTCTTGAATCTTTAAACAAGTTATAAAGAAATAAATGCATACGATAAAGAGATTCAATTCTACGATGGAGCTATTTCAATTCTAAAATTGTATGCCAGTTATCATCTTTTTTTATGTTTATAATAAAACTACAGTAACTCATCCAAGAATATACTGGTAGTTTCAGAAATCAGATTGTAAAATTTCTTCTATTAGCTCATGATATATCTTACCCTAAAGCACTACAAAATATTATCATCATCGTAAAAAAGGTCTACATTGTTTATTTTATGTGATGTCTACAATTTCAACTGAAGATAGTGATATATGTAATAAGAAGAAAGCACATAGAACCAGGACTGTTTGGAACAAAAAGAGATACTTTTAAAAAGGATTCAACATAATCAATGAGTGTTGTACCTCTTTTATCAACTTCTATGGTAGCCATAGATCTACCTGAACAGCACTTACAACAACCAGAGGCAATTTGGTCTATTTAAGGGTAGAGCAGATTAAAGGAGGTCGAATTACATGAATTTGAATGTAAATAGCTAGTTTTTTGTAGCATCAAAACTTGACAACAACTCATTTTTGTGTTACTAGAGTATTCCAATAAAATTTGCTGTCTCACTAGTAAACATAAAAGTAATTATTAATTAACAATCTAACTGTCACTTGAGCTACATTTACCATATAATTTGATACTATAACATTAATTGATTATCCATACATTTCTAAAAAGCTAATTGAATTTGTATAAATAATAACTACAGTTACTGATGAAATGATTATGATTCACACCTTATAATACCATAGTTGTGGGTAATGAAATATGACTTGGAGGAATAGTCGATCGAAACAAGATAAACATTATTATTTATTTAGATGTCTGGACAGAGTCATTGAGGATATATTAATGTTACTTGAGTCTGTTGTAAATTTGGATCAATTTCTCTGGAGCCATGTAGAATTAATGATCTCACATTGAGGCATGATACTAAAAAGCTGCCACGAAGATAAGCCAAATTGCTTGCAGCAACGATAGTCTAAAGTGTGCTTATTTGGCAATATCTCTACAATATTTTTCTTTTTATTATCGTATATTTTACAAATGCTCCTTCGTATTACTTGAGTCTATTTTTTTTCTCCTTTTCCTTCATTCGTCCTTATGTACTTTTGAAGTTCACAGAAGGTTGAATACACTAGTGCATGAACAAATTAAAATAAAAATCCAGAATTTCGGAGTCATTTTACTTAAATCTTATGTTTTACTATTTTTGTTTGCAGAATTTCTATGTTGGTTTGTATTTATTAATTATCTTTTTTAATTTGGAAATATTTTAATCATTTCAAAAAAAATGCTTCAATACTACGATTGAAATATTATCTTGCTGCAATATTGAATAATTAATTATGTTTGAATTGATAATCAATCTGATAAAATTTTGATTAAAAATCATTTTTTAAATATAATAAAATGTATTCTTCGTGACCTTTTATATATTTATTTCATAGAAATTTCTATCAACCAAGTTTTGCTAGGTATTCGATAATTTTCGCATCGCTAATCATTATTTACTTTTGAAGTTACAGTAAATAAATAAACTGCAAATGCCAAAAGGTTTCATCTCCTGATTTTAAAATAAAAAAATTATTTATCTTTTTATCAAACTTGATTTATGATTTAAAATTACTGAGTTCACTCCCAATATAAAATTAGACTTATTTGCAGAATGATAAAATTCTTAATACTCTACATCAGAGAATTGAACACTAATAACGAAATAAAAAATCAACTTGGTTGTTACGTAATAGATTATTTGATTAGAATTAAAATAAAATAAGTTTCTATCTTTTACGTAACATGATTTAACTACTAATTATTTATTAGTTATTACGCTAAATTTATATTAAGTGATTGATTTGTCATAAAACAATACAAACTTGGGAGGGATTTTGATAAATTGAATAATGATGATAATAAATTAAATTTATTTTATAGACTCACAGAGTATTTATTTATTCCAGTATTATAATATTAATAACTATAATTACAAACAATTTCTCACCGATATATCTAATCGTTTGTAGCAACTTATATCTATATATAATATAATATTATAAGTAAGATTGCATTATAAGGCTTTAATGGTTCGAACCCTCATCACTTTCGGAAACAGATTTTCTGGAAACTGGCGAGGCAGACCTGTAACAATTATTCAATCAATGTTAAATTGTTTCCTCTTCAACCTATTATTTAGAGGATAATCAAATTGTTAATTACCTAGCTGAACCGCTTGCACTACGAGACCTACTCCGAGATCCACTTTTTGATCGTGACCGTGATCTTGATGGGCTTTTACTTCTTGATCTCGACTTGGATTTTGAATGCGAACGTGATTTCGATCGACTTTTGCTTCTAGACTTCCGTTCTCCTGACGCTGAACGTGAACGGCTCCTAGATTTGGACCTAGATCTTGATTTCGAGCGTGATCCCGACCTTGACCGAGATCTCGAACCACTTCTCCTAGATCCACTGTTTGATCTCGATCGTGATCTTGACCCACTTCTTCGAGATCCTGAGTGCGAACGTGCTCTTGATCCAGATCGAGACCTCGAACCAGATCGCGACCTCGACCTGCTATTTCGTGAACCTGACCTCGATCGAGATCTCGAACCACTGTGCGATCGCGATCTCGATCTTGAACCTGAACGATTCGATCCACTTCTCGACCTTGATCGAGAGTTGCTTCTCGAACCACTTCTTGCTTTTGAACGAGATCGAGACCTTGATCTTGAAGCTCTTGATTGTTCTGAATCAGAACTGATTCTTCTTTTACCCCTGCTTGGACCAGCTTCATCACCACTGGCAATCTTAAGTCCTTCATCACTCTCAGACTCACTTGTGGAAATAGTTTCTTTTGATAGGAAACGAGGATTATGTCGAGTAACTTCCGGCGCGGGTTTTTTAACTTTTTTACCACTTCCGACTTTTCTTCCTCTCTTGGCTCGAGGCCGGTCACTATCAGAACCACCACTGTCGTCATTCTTCCTACGACCTCTGCCTTTTCCTTTTCGTTCTTTACCTTCTCCACTAGCTTTCCTCTTTCTTTTTCTTTCTCTTGGAGCTTCTTCCCTCCGCTCTTCACCCCCAGAACCTCCACTGTCGCTGACATACTGATCGCTTCTTGATTTTTTTCCTTTCTTTGTTTGTTTTTCAGATGGCATCTCTTCAAAAACAAGCGCATTCTTTGTTTTTTCCACATATTCTTGCCTCTTTTGTAACATAGCTTCTTCTTTTTGTTTACGCATTTCTTCAAGTTTTCTTTGCTCTTCAGTTTGTCTTAATTTAAATGCTTGTCGCTCTTCTTCTTGTTTTTTCCTCAACATCTTTTCTTCTTCATCTAACCTTCTAGCTCTAGCAACATGATATTGTGCTTGAGATAGCAAGTCTTGACATCGCCGAGCTTCTGCTTCTGCAAGTTGTTCCATCCTGTCTCCATGAGTAGCTAAATACTGGAAATACTTATGTGATAATCCCAGCTCATGCACTGCTTGAAGTACTGTCGTAAGAGTAGACTTTTCATCCTTAAGAATTTGCGTAGCAAGTCTTTGTAGCACTAAAGCTATATTATACAATAAAACTGTATCTTGGGGAGCGACTCTTCGTGCCTAAAATATTGAAAAAAGTAATGCATAAATTTATATTAATTGTATAAAATAATATTTGAATAAATATAATGTCATATTATTAAATAAGTTTAAAATTTAATTCTAAATGGAAGATAAAATTGATAGTGATGAAGTAGAATAGACTGTTAAAGATATTCAATTAACATTACCTTGAGTAGAGTCATTTTAGCTTCCTTCAATTTTCCTGCCTTGAAGTAAGCCCTCGCAAGATATTGGAGTACTTCAACGTGATGATATTTATAGAATTTTCTCAGGCAATTTTCATACTGAAAAGTCATATACCATTAATTTACTTTATGTTATCTATCTCATGCTCTTATCTTTACTCTCAAACACTCAAAAGACTAATTACCATTTGAATAGCGCTGACAAACTGCTTTTGCTCGACATAGATGTGAGCGATATTCAGCCAAACATCACAAAATTCAGCTGTAGCTTCACGAACTTGGGCAAATATATCACGAGCCTCGTTGACACATCCTTTATGAGCAAGAACAGCACCAATACCATTTGCAGCCCAAATATTCTTCGGATCATTCCGTAGTACTTGTTTGTACATAGCTAAAGCACGATCTTGATGCCTTTTCTCACGCTCCTTATCTTTTCCACTTTGATGCAGAGTCTGTAGCCAAATGTTGCCCAAAGCAATTAAAGAATAGGCATCATTACTTGATGAAGGATTTTTCAATATTCTTTCGAATTTTTTTTGACCAGGCCCCCATTCCATCTTTGCTAGATGAAGATTACCAAGCAGCGACCATGCATCAGGATGTTCATTATTAATTCTCAAAGCATCTTTGAACCAATCAGAAGCTTCGTAAATTTGACCTTTATCTCTAGCCATACATCCAAGTCTTAAATAGCAATCCATATAATTTGGATGCTCTTTCAAAATGTCCTTATATAATTTCTCAGCACGGTCGAAAACACACAGAGCTTCATTCAAACGAGCTAAATTATAAGTCGTAGTAACAGCAATAGAATTGTAATAATTAGGATCATCTTGGGCATCAACTTTAGACCTTGCTAATGATTCTTCAAGATTTCTTCTAGCCTCTTCAAGGTTGCCTAAACGATAATGCAGTGCTCCGACATTATTTAAAATTTCCGGAGGTATTTCAGCCTCAACTTTTTCTTTCAGAATTCTTGTCGCTGTTCCATAAGCATTCAAAGCTGCATTTAAATCACTTTGCTCTAGAATTTGTGCTAATTCAATCCAAGCTTCAACGTCATCTGGGAATTGTTCAGTTACTTTTCTTAAATGATTTTTTGCAATATCTCTTTTGGATTGCGAGCTTGAATTAGCATACAATGATCCCAAGATCTTCATTGTCTCATAATTGCCTGGTTGAGCTTTTAGAACTTTTTCAAAACACTGTGCAGCATTCTCAGGGTCTCCTCGATAAACATACATCTGTCCGAGGCCAAAATGAGGTAAAACAAAAGCTGGAGGTGCAAATTGTGTTGCTTGATAATAATATTGGAATGCCTGATCATAGTCCGCTTGAACGTGGAATGCTCGAGCAAGCTGATAACAGCTTTCAGCACGCATGGCTTCATTTTCAGTATTGTGAAAAGCGTGCAAAGCTAAATGTTGGACTTTACTGTAATCTTTTTTGAAGAAAAAATGATTGGCAAGATGATTCAAAACCATAGGATTTGTTGAATCTATTGTGTAAGCTTTTGATAACATTTGGACACCACTTCTAATGCTTTCAGGTTGTTGTTGATTCAATTTTAACACTGAGAGACCGACTAGAGCTCCAACGCATTGACTATCAAGTTGAAGAGCTCTTTCAAATGCTAATCGAGCTTTTTCTTGGTTGTTCAACTTCATAAAACAGTGACCCATTCCTAATCTTACTGCTGCTGGGCAATTTGGATTTGTTCTTAGAGCTTTTTTGTAGAATGCTAAAGCTCCTCGATAGTCTTTCTTGTTAAAAGCTATACATGCTTTACCCAGGAGTGATGGAATATTGGCTGAAGCATGTTGCAAGACAAAATTGAATTGCGTATCTGCTTGATCTAGTTTATCCCCTTCAAGCAAACAAAAATATGCTCGACCAAGTAAGTGGTTTAGATCGTACATCATAATTTTATCTGCTGTTGTATAAAGTAAAGTTGCTTTTGTGAATAAGTCTCGCTTTTTATCCTTGTTCTTTTCTCGATTGGCTTCTTGCACATAGTATGCTGCCAACATGTCCAATGCACGCATTTGATCTTTTTCATACTCTCTGTATTCAATATTGGCATCAATTCGAGACGATTCAAGGATTTTAATAAAATCCTCAATTTTATGTTGTTTATAATATTCAAGCTGAAAATTAAAAAATTCAATTATTTAGAGAACTGTAAAAAAATGAATATATTTTAATAATTAACTTTTGATTGAAATATATTTATCTTATGTAAGAATCAAATATAGTCCAATCATAAATGTCTAGTTCTTTTTTATCAAAACAGATGGAATATTATTTGTAAATTTTTTTTTTAATTTAATTTTGCCATTAATGATAAAAATTTAATCCAACTTATTTAATTTATCAGAATATGTTACGTAAAAGATTTTAGTTATTTACACACTACAAAACAATTTATTTTGAATTTTAAAAATATTAAAGAATTAAAAAGAAATGGTGCTATAAAATTATAAATAAATATTTTTCAAGTATATAACTTATTTTTCATTATAATAAACAAATTATGTATAAATAATTTTTACTTACAGCCAAATTGACCCATATATTAAGTTGTGCATGTTCTTGTCGCAAAATACCCAAAACTTCATCGCCTTCAGGTAATTGATCTAAACAGAGTTCAATAACCTATAAAAAACAAAAAAAAATTAATAACAACAATTCTATTAATTTATTAAAAACATTGTATTTGTATAATATGAAAGACAACATTACTTTCAAACTTGAAAATTTTTGCACATATGATGCATCACAAACACCAATTTTGAGGTTAGTTTCATTGCAATGTTTGATGCCGTTGATTAGTAAATAGATTACTTTCTGATATTGTAAATAATCAATAAACCTAATAAGTTTACAATAATAATCAAGAACTTACCTCATCCGTATCACGAAGAGGAATTTCAATGGAATTTGCCATTCCGGCAAATTTATCAAAACTTGACACTCCTTAACAAAAAAAAATAGTCAAACTGAGAAGAATTCCACAGTTGCTCCAATGCTTTCCGACTCCCCACTACCGATTATTTACCCCTTTGACCACGTTTTCCACTATTGCGCAAGCGTACAAGACTGCTGGGAAATTTCCGGGTGCTGCCGGTGAGAAATTCTGTTTTCAATTCGACTAGAGATCCTTTATGACAAAGTCCGGCAAAATGAGTCACATTCTAATTAGCTGATGGAATCTGAATGCATGTAAATTAAAGGGAAGAATAAGCAACAAGATATCCTAATGTGTTACCTATGAGCTTAGACAAAGTTTGAGTTTTTTGTTTATAAATTATTTTTAAAGTGAATAAGTCTATTATTTATTCAAATTTATTCATATTATTTTATGTTTTATATTATAATGTAACCAATACTAAAATTATTTTAAATAAGTTTTCAAATGAAGTATTGAAACAACTTATTTATTATTCATTTATATTGTTTAATTAACAGTATTTTTTTGAACGACTTTTTTTGATCATTTGTTTTAAAAACTATCTGAATATTAATTAATCTTAATAAATATAGCAAATGTCTGTTCCTTAATATATCTCAAGTATGAACTTTTATGAAAAAATATCTTGTTTCCATTAAAAAACTTAAAATTATGATGTTTGTTCTACACAATAAAATGATATATGAATTGCATATTAATCTGAACGATTTGCACATGCTTCTATACATATTTGAGCAACAAGATCAGGTTTAAGGTACGATTTATTTAAGAATTCTTTGTTGCGGCAGCCAACGATTGGGCATCTGCAAAATAAATTACATATTAATGATTACATTTATTCTTTGTTAAATTAGTAATTGATTAATTTTGTTAGTTAAACATACCTCGTAGCATTAGAATTTCTAAGTACAGCATCTATGCTAGCCTTATCATAAATATGACCACAAATAGTGTTTTTCATGGGATGTGTCATCTTAGCCTTGCTAATAGGACAAATAAGATTGGCATAACTATTCAAGCCTTCGTCAGTTATTTCCATTTCTGTATCAGTATTATTGACGTTGACTCCAGTCATAACTATAATAAAAATCAATGATAATAAACAAGAATATTATTAATAATAATTTCCTTGATGTATGTTTGATTGTTTAGAGTGCAAATGTATATTACAAATAACCTTACTTTTAACCAACTTTTCAACACACTCATCATAATCTCGTATATATTCATTGTCTGATATATCAGGAACAAATGACGATGTTTGTTGATTGAATTCCTAAAAATGAAAAATTGTAATAATGTAAAATAATACATCTTTTCAATGTATATGTGATAAATCATCTACTTCTATTGTGATTTGACTACATGTTACTGCTATGTTACATAAATATGAATTGAATAACTAATATTTATAATTCTTTTATCGTGTGCTACCTCTAATAATTGTTGTTGATCACTTTCTCCGTCTTGATCTATTGATTGATTCATTAATGTATTTATATGTTTCAAAGTTTCAGTGCTTTTAACATAGTCTTCAAGACATTCTTTGAAAGTATCAAGTACTTTTTGACGTTTATTCTCCTCTGAAAATAATAAATAATATTGTAATCCATTTTTCCTTATTAGATAATGTTACAATTAAAAAAAACACTGCTTATTACCAAGATAATTAATCGCATAAGATGCAGATTTAATCATGTTGTCACAAACTGATTGAAGTGATTTTTCAAACTCCGTCATATTTATATCTATGTAATTTTCTTTTTTGTAACTTAAATGTAATATTATTTAATTTGTTAAACGTTTAAAATTGTTATGTTTTGACTGATTTAACTAGGTTATAATCATGACAAAAATGACAATCGGTTCCATCAATGCTTTGTATCTTCTGAGCCTGACTTTTATCCGATGAGAAATTACCAACCGTAGGAAAAATTTGGTTAAAATCGAAGATTTATAGGCGCGTTCATTTAAACATTACAATAAGTATGTCATTAATTTAATTTAAAAAAAAGGCTAGGCCTTATGTGGGGGAGGATTTAAGGAAATGAAAACTTATTTCCTTGAATTGGTAATAAATTTGATTTCATAAAATGATAATAATAATAAGTAAATTTAATAAACACAATTGACCTAATTTACTTTTTTTCGAAGAATTATTTTTTAAATGTTTTGAAAAAGTATTATAATCATGTCACAGTAAAAAAAAACATATCTATTAATTTTAATGGTTGATAGTCAACAAGTCATGGTTATTATATTTTTTTCCAAAATAGAGCGGAATATTCTAGTGTTTAGTGAATTTAATGGTAATTATTTGGAAGTGGGATCCACCCTATTTTTGGCTTTGTTTTTTCGATATAGCTCTATTTTTTATCATAAATGCGCCGTAAAAATGAATAAAATAAAAAAAAAAATTCCTATATCATAATTTTTCGATTTTTTATAGCCAAAAATAGGGTGGACCCCACTTCCGAATAATTACCAATTTAATTAAAGTATATTCATTACTATAACAATATGGCATTGAACATAAAATAATTTTGTCTAAAGAATTACTTTTTTTTAATCAATCTTATCTTTTTATTAAGAAATTTTATGATTTGTTTTTTATTTTAGATAAAATTTTTTATCTTCAAATATGTATCATTACTTACAATGAAACTTTAATTTTATTTGAAAGACAAATCATGATATCTATTAGTGCTTTGAAATAAGATATCTTTTTGATATCTGGACGTATGCAAAAGATTTGAATAATTTCACTAAAATTCTTCAAACAATTAAACCCATAATATTACTTGAGAATATTAAAAGCTCTCTTTGTTACAAAATAAAAAAATAATTCTTGTTAAAACATACTTTGCATTTTATAAAATTTAGAAAACAGTATTACATGGGATTTCTAATATTATTTTTTTAGGCTGTGTTAAGAACATATTATTTATTTTTAATACAGAGTTTCAATACACGTACATAACTCGAGTTTTAATTATATGACGTCATTCCTTTTCGGATTTGCGCACGTGAACGGAGTACGGGAAGATATATCATACATAACCTCCGGAACGGGAAAGCTACATTGGTTTTTTTATTGTGCCTTCGTATAAAAAAATCCAACGATATTTGAAAGGTCAAAGTTAAAGCTGTAATTCTGTGTTAACAAAACTAGTAATTAGTTTTAAAATAGCCATTTATTATTATATATAAATATTAAAATATTTTTATGAGATTTAGTGACAGCTTAATACTGAATTATTTACATTTAGTAATCCAAGTTTGGATGAAATTGTATGGTAACAAACGGAGCCATTAGATATGCCTGCGCACGCCTACGCTCTTTTCAATGATTGCTACTACTGTGTAGTTCTCGGATGAATTAAAAGTGTCAATTGCGAGTGATGAACAAATTTACAATGACGAAATTTTGTCAATAATCTTAGTGATAAAATACACTTCAATGTCGAAGTAAAAATATTCCATTGATGTTAACAAAGAGTATAAGGCTCCATATTGAAACGTGATTCGATGTAGTGCAGAGTTAAATACATATCTAAAGATATCAGTGAAGTTGTATAGATTGCTTATTTATCTTAGTAAATTTAGATGTTTGTCTTTTTCACAATACCATTATTAAGAAATATCGTGTATTATCTGTACTGTTTCAATTGATTCAGAAATGAAATGTTTATGTCAGTTTGTTTATTGATGTTTATGAGTTGAGCTTCCTGCTATAATTCCGAAAATATATATAAATATATATTTTGCGATAAATGTAAATATTGTTCTATTGGTGTATTGCCTTTTTATTTTACACATTAAGAGTTGTTACATTCGTTTAACTTCAAATCTTCCAGATCAACGACAAAATGGATGAAAAACGTGGATTTCCTTTATCAGATGATGAAGAAGAATCAGAAAATATCATCATCAATGAGGTAGATGGCTTACCTGACTTACATCCTAATTATGAGGAGTTGACACTCGATTTAGATGAAAAAAGAGATCGAACAAGTACGGATATTAGAACTCTTGATGAACTAGTACATGACGAAGATTTGCCAACATCCGTTATAGTAACGAATGTAGATCCTCGAGTTTTTAAAAGTGATAAACTTAAGGTAATTTAATATTTTTGGTTAAAAGTTTCTTTTAAATTCAAATTATTTATATAAATGGTCAATTTAACAGGCTGAAATAGAAGAATTATTTAAACAATTCGGTAAAGATGCAACCTTCCAGTATTTTAAATCATTCAGAAGAATGAGGGTAAATTATAAGTCTCCAAGTGCTGCAGCTCATGCTAGGATACAATTGCATCAAACAAAATTTGGTGATACCGATATTAACTGCTATTTTGCTCAGCCAGTAACACCGATAGGTTTGTATTAAAAAGAAACCATTTTATGAGATATATTTTTAGACATTAATATTTAAAAATGCTATTTTTAGCTAAACATTTATTTTCCAGTATCTTCAATTTCTTGTTATTCTATTTTTGTATATTCATATTCCTGACAAGTCTTTTTTTTTCAATATTCTTTCAAAGATTATTTTGAGTATTAATGATTATCTGTTTCAGATATCGAAGATCAACATCTTCAACCGCCTGCTCTTACAAAACAATTTCTAATTTCACCCCCTGCGTCTCCTCCGGTTGGCTGGGAGCCACGACCAGAAGACGAACCCCTAGTTAATCATGATTTATTGGCTGCCATTGCTAATTTATCACCAGGTACTTACATATATCTCTAACAACCTACTTACTCTATCAAATTAATTTTATCTGATGTTTGTATATAAATGTAGGTGGAAGTCACGAACTACATCCAGGCGGATCTGGTCAACCTGGAATAGTAGTACATGTATGTGAAAACTCAGCATCTAACAATCCTTTAAAAAGAGCTCCACCCATACAACACACCCGTTGTCCTGATCATTAAAAGATTTTTTTAGGGTAAGTGTTGTTTGCAATCAGTGGCTATAAATTATTTAAATAATCCATCCAAATTAAATAATCAATGATGTGATATTTCTGCAATTAATGGATTCAAAAAAAATATCATTTCAATGTGAAACGAAAAAATTCACCATGAAGTGTATTGAAAGATTTGTGTCAAATTTAAATGTAATTAAATTTGTGTTACCATCTATATTATTTCAGTATTCCATAAATATATGAGAGTCAATTCATGTACTCTTTCTTCGTTTTTTATCTCAATTTTCAAATGTGATGTTGAAAAATATCTATTAAGCTCATTCTATGCTAAGTGAGGAAATGGAGTATATTCAGAAGCTAGTTATTGATAACTTGGAATATCGTAGTGTAATTAACGAGCGTTGATACCATTTAGTTCAAATATTTATTGAACAATAGCGAATGGTATATTGTCAATTAGCTGCCAGGCTTAGAATGTAAGGGAGTAAAATATCATAATTGTATTAGTTGAAATATAAAGTTCATCTTGTAGTTATTGGATTACATTGTTTGAGTAAAGGAATAATAACAAAACAAATAGCCCGCAGTTGCAGAAATTTTTTTGTTTAGTGTAACAGCTGGATATTTTCTGTAATCAATAAGATTTATTGAGCACAAATATATGTATATAAATAGATATATTTTTAAAATTATTATTTATTAAAGTATTTACTGAAATGTGTGGTTTCTGAATTGTAAACAAATGCGCTTTAAATAATATTAAATTACTTTCAAAAAATGATTCATGCTTCAATATATGATGTTATGTAAGAATAAAAATGAAGAAATAATTAGAATAATAACATGAGCACAAACTTTTTGAATTACATAAATAGTAATAATTTAAAATGTGAATAGAAGTGTTTTACCTAATTCGTACTTGAATATGTTTTTATGACTGTACCAACAAATTTAGTGTACAAGTTATCTAATCATTTTGAGAGATTGTAATAAAAAACCAATAAATGAAAAAAAAATTTTCTCGATTCTAGAGTATTAATAATTGAATAGAATTATGTAATCTTTCAGAAAGGAATTAAAGTCATTCAATTACAAATTTATTCATTAGATTCATTTAAAATAAACATTAAAATTGAATGGAATTAAAAAATATTTTCTGAGCAGCTCCGCATTAAAAATGGTATCACCGAAAATATATTTTTATATTAAAATTAAGAGAAAGTGGACTGCAGAAATCAACTATTTTACATTAAATAACAACATTACCAATATAAGAGAAGCCCAATATCTCAAACAACGGACTCTCTTAATCAAACTACACAACTTTAGATTAATATCCAACAAATTCCAATATGACTATTAATCAATCTAGAGGTGCAATCAAATAAAAACAATCTTACTGCTATCATTTTTTATTCCTATTGCACAAAACGGTATTCCAAATATACTTCACTTCCTCTAAAATTAGTCATTTCTTAACTCAATCTCTTCTCCATAGAATCAAACGTAACAAAAAAACAAAAAAAAGATCAATACAATTGGAGATCAACGTAGGCTAGATATTTATTGATGAAAATGTAAAGTTTAAAATTTTAGAAATTAAAAGAAAATAAAAGAAAACAGCTTGGTGGTAATGTATTCTACAAATAAATTACAAATTGATATAATAAATTCTTTAATGGTCTATAAAATATTCTTGGCTGTAATCAGAAACCCCAGATATGCTTTAAATTCTAGCCTAACGTCGTATAAAAAAAAATGAAAAAAGATTCAAAAATATAGAAAAAATATTAGTATGCTTACGCTCAAAACATCGAATTTGAAAGGCTAATCGTTTCTTAATAAAATTGTGGAGTAAATAGATTGGACAAAAATATCAACAAGTATAATCTATTTATTCATTAAAAAAATATTTCCATACTAAAATTATACGTTAATCTTTACGTAAATCTTAACAAAAAAAAGATATCGAAATATATTGTTAATTCTTATTCTACACCTTTAATTATTATCAATGTTAATTGTATCTTTCAATTAAATAGATTACCTCTCGATGTAAACTTATTCTATATGTAACTATCAAGAGTCAAGCGAGTAAAATAATGTAAACGGTATATTTGGATGGCTGGTACATCCATTAAATAGGTAGAAGGAAGAGTAAAATAAAATATATTTAGTTAAAAAAATATCCTTCAAGCAGTAAATTAAATCTAACGAACGTAAACAATTAATGTAATCTGATGTGTGCATGTGTGAGTGTGTATATATAATTTATAAAATTACAATTACGTACAAAAAAATCATTGTAAGCTACATACTCTTGCAATGAAAGAATGTTCTTCAATTTTCAATAATTATAAAATTGTTTTTTGAAATCGTCGTTAAGTCAGTCCATTTATGTGGATTATTGTTATCAGAGTAAATTATTGACTGTTACATGATAATTAAATAAAATCAAATAATATAAAGTGTACAATAAAGTCATGTAGTTCATTCATTATAATTAACGTACATCAATATAAAGTATCATTTAAAAATTATTTTGCATGAAATAATTCTTCATTCCTTATCATTTTATGAAATACTATTATTAGAATTTTTAAGTGTTTTAAAATAAATACTATAAACTACGAAATTTTTAAAAATTTCATTTTTATTTATTACAATTCAATTTATACATAGTATGTTTTATAAATCACGGAATTATGTGAAGGCTTTATACAAGACTTTTTCTATCGTAATTTCATGCATCATTGAAATTCATAAATTACCTTTATAGATTTTTGTCCACAAAGAAACTATGATTTTTTATTCAGTTATTTTTGTTTTGTAAAAATTATAGGCCGTTAATTTAATCGAATTTTTAATCTTTGATCAATTATAATAGAATATTAGAAGCCCGAAAAAAATATCTGCAATTAAATTTGTTAAAAAATTACGATATTTATAGAAAAAGCAGCATTCGGAAGAATTTTTTATACAAGAATTTTTATATTTTAATTAGATAGCACACTCGACTGTATTTTTTTTTATCTTTTACTTTTGTATATCATAACTATTTGAAAACATTGTGATATGACTTAATACATGATCATGAAAAATGAAAAACCTCTTTTCCTAATGGTATTCGTGTCAAGAAATCAGCACAGATAATTTAGTAATAAGTCTATTAATTTGTTTCACCATAAATTTAACAGCTAATTACTCATTTTGTTAATATTATAAAAATATATAATTAGTTATAGAATTGAAAAATTGAATTAATCCATGTGAAAAATTTTTATGCCATATATACGAATGTGTTAATATCTTCGTCATGTCTTCGAATGTATTTATGCTCAATCAACCATTCAATTTGTTCCTTAATCATCTTTTTACTCGGTAAGAACATATTTTTCAGTATATCCACCAATTCAGTTTGTAGTTGTGCATTATTTATTTTCTTCCTCATTTTTAGAATTTTTATTATGGCTTCCTGCATTTAATAATTTTCATAATTAAATAAAACAAAACTTATAGTGATATCATAATAAATCAATAGTAGTTTACCTGAACTCGTAATATCCTAAGTTGAACAATACATTGATTATCCTCTTCTTTACTTCGTTCTGTTGATAATTGTAATCTGCCTATCAAATTTATCCTTCCTCTCTTCTGAAGTTTACCGTTTTTTCTACGATGAACAAAATAATTGTAACTTATTTGATATCTGATATGTTAAATGAAAATATGAATAAAGATGATATTTACATGATGGCAAATTCTTGATTTACCCAGAATCTTGAATCATGAGCAAAATCTTTAGGGTTAAGAGCAGCAGGTTCGACCATTAGTAATTGTCTTTTTAATTTAGGGAATGCACAAAGTGACCAAAGTGTACGTCGAAGCTCTGGATCTGGAAGTTCTGTAGCTAATCTTAGATTTTCGTAAGAGATTCTTTCCATAGGACGTTGATTCCACGCAAAAAGAACTGCCATTTGAAATGTAGTAACATCAACATCAAAACGTCCCACTTGATTGGAAAAAGTTATCTAAAAACACAATTGTAATAAAAAAAATGAATTTCTGACGTTGTGTAACAAAAAATATAATTAAAATGACTTACTGTGCCGTTTGACATATGATGATACCATTGAAGTTTCCTACCATTATGTTTCTTCTTATAAAATTCTTCTACTTCAGGAATATAATCTTCTAATTGTAATGGCAAGCTAACTGTAACACGTTCACTACCTCTTGCCCATGCCCCAGCATTTAATATTTTAATATTGATACTATCGGCAATCGCCGCGCGACATTGTTCTTTGAATTGTTGATTCAGATCTTGTGATACTTTGATATCTTGGAACATTCTTGCCAGTTTATTTACGTAATCAGCTGGCATTCCAACTTCACGAAGCCATTCAACCATATTCTCTTCTTTTTCAGAATCAGCGGATGTGTCCAGAATTAACCTTCTCGTGAGATGTGCTTTATGATACCGCATGAATACATCTTTATTTTGAACGTATTTTAAAACTAAGAGCTGGAAAAAATGATAAATTTTAATTTTTTATCATATTTTAAATTACATTTTCATGATTTTTAATAAAAACTTACCACATCACGTAATTTACTTTCAATTTCATCAGAGGTAAGTTTTTTACTAAGAGGAGTTTTCCTAAGTAACATATCACAGTAGTTTGCCAATAGTTCAGGACACTTTGATTCTGGCTGGCCATTGTTATTATTATTAGGTTTACTGTTAATAACTGCGGCTGCTCCAGGAGGTTGTTTCGAAGGTAATTCTAATCTAAAGACTGTAGCATCATTAACAACAAGTTTATACGCTTTATCTCGAGCAGTTAAAAATCGTGGATCGTCATCAAAAGCTTCTTTAACTAAAGTAGAAAACCTTCGAAACTGATCTAACAGCCTCTCTACATATTTTTCTGAGTCTTGAGTTATAACATCCACTGCTGCCATCATATCAGCAAGACCTGCACTGGAAATATAATCTTCGAGATCTTTTAACATAGGTCCAACTCCATCCGGAATGCGATCCATTAGTTTCAACATTAAACGTAATTCTGAAGAGAAATAGTTATTTTCAATAATTTACAGATTTCTTGAATATAATAATATTGATAGATAGAGAAACTTACTATCAGTTTGATGATCATGAATCATACGTGGACATTCAGCTAGAATAGCTGGCTTAAATGTGGCTACAAGAACTTTAACACAACATTCTGTTAGCAATTGTACACTTGTGCTATTAGGTTCTAGATATTTTTGTGCTCTCAGTTCTTCTTCCCTTAATTTTGCTTCAGCATATCGCATATAGTTTTCAACACCATGCGCTTGTAATTGCTCTGGTGCTTTTACCCAGTAAAATGATTCTGTAGTTTCGATGTATGCGGCTTCAAAATTTTCTCGGTAAATTTGAAGCTTGTCTTGTGGGTTTGAACATAAATTAACGTATGATTCTCTAACACCAATAACTAATTGTGAATCAAATGCTTCGCCATTTCTTTCTGCTCGCACTAATCTCATTGCTGAGTCTTGAAGTCTTTGTTTAATATCATTAAATATACTTTGATTCCAACTATCTAACATCATCTAAAATTAAAATAAACAACTTTGTAAAACGATGTTTTGTTTAAATAAATAAAAATGAATCAATAATAATTACTTTGCGAACAAGGCTTTCTTCCGGTTGAGTTTTTTTTGGACCATTTGAACCAGTTTTTCCTGCTAAAGAATTCTCTAGTTGTCTGAAAGGCGTAGGTAAATAATTACATTGAGTGAAAAATTTCCTCCATTCTGCTATATAAGCCTTTAGTAATGCTTGCTCTTCTTGATGTGCTAGAACTCGCTGTAAAATTAAATTATACAAGTAAGAGAAAGTCTTTTTTATAGTTTATATAATTAAATGTCAACAAATTTACTTGTTGAGCTTGTTTTATAAAATCCATTATATCTTCTTTTAAAGCTTCCTGTAATTTCATGGGTCCTTTTTCGTCCCACATACAAGCTAGATAAATAGAGTAAAAGAGATCTTGCCATTCTGCTTGGGTCACAGGTTCTTGTTTCAATAGTTTTAAAATAATAAGCCTCATACATGGCCAATTTTCTTCGAAAGGACATTGAGTTTTATTCTAAAAAAAAAAAATTATTTGCGTGTAGTTATTAGTAGTAAACACATGTAGAAAAAACAAATTTGTATTGCACAGTGATAGAATACACAGAGATACAATAAATAACAATTGATGCAAGTCAACAATGACATTTTTACCATGTTGTTGAGTTTTGAATAGAATAATTTACTGTTATAGCAAATTTTACGTTCAACGCAAATTTATTTCATAAAATAAATTCAGAAATTACGTTTGTCATCTTAGAATAATCCGTTGTATGATGAAAGATTGACAAATATATATTAATCTTAGCTCCGAAATAATTTTGAAGGTAATTGATTTAAAAATGCAAACTAGTTGATACTTTTACAACACCTTTATATTCTGAAAACAACGAAAGATAAACATGTTTGTTAAATGACAACTAACCTTTATTCCGGCCATCACACAAGGTTTGGCATACCCTATTCATACCAAATATTTTCGTACCTTTTATTTTATTCGCAGAGAGAAGACTGATTGCAATAATACCATAAGGATTTTGATTTCATTGCAAGTGTCGCCGACGATTCCACTTGGTTTTTTCGAACTACCAAGTAGTAATATCGGTATGACAGAGAGGTTTTATCATCATTCTAACTAGAGTATGTTATCTGGATAAATTGTGAGAAACTTCTTATAGCAATTTCAAAATTACATAGTTTGTGATAACAAAGTGGAAACGTGGGCGCCATAAACAATCAAAACCTTGTGGTATTATTGTTAAAAAGTATAGAATCTATACTCTTTGTTGTGACTCTCATTTTTTTGTCTGTTGCTGCTCATAATTTTCTGTATACAAACCTGAAAAACGAAAGAAAATGTCATTATCATTATTTACATAATAATAAATAAATATAAAATTTAATCAACTACAAATTAAGAAGATTTATTTGCAATTTTAATTTATAAAAAAACAAGAGATTTAAGGTACAATAAATTATTCTAACGATTTATTTTTTATATTATATTTTTAGCTTTGTTTTGAATCAACGTTGGAAATGAAACGAATATAACCTAAAAACCGGTGTTATTGTATGTTAAGTATTATTTACATTTTTATTATTAATGTTATAGATGAGTCGAAAAGAAGCTTTGTCGCAATTTATTCAACAAATTCATGGAAGACCAGTGGTTGTAAAATTAAATAGTGGAGTAGATTACAGAGGTAATTAATTCTTATATTAATTGAAACATTGCAAATTGTAACTTTGAATTGAAATGTTTATAGGTGTACTGGCTTGTCTAGATGGATACATGAATATTGCTTTAGAACAAACAGAAGAATATGTTAATGGTCAATTAAAGGATAAATATGGAGATGCATTTATCAGAGGAAACAATGTGTTGTACATAAGCACCCAAAAACGGAGAACTTAAATATGATTGTTAATATTTATACTTTAATTAAGTATTCGATATAAAACGATAACAATTTAATTTTCTTTGATAATAAAAAATCTCATGATTATTATTTAAATGTTGTTATAAAAAACTTGATTTATTAAAAAATAAGATTAGATAAAAAAGTTTCAATGTTCATACAATTTCTAAAAAAACAATATTTTCAGTTATTACAATAATGAATAATTAAACAGTTATTTCATTAGTCTACGTTTTTGCATAATGAACTGATTAACTGCATCGTCTATTTCCTTGTCGAGTTCTTCATCAGTGAGAAGTTTTGGATTATTTTCATTCTTATGCACTTTTTCGACTGTGACTGCTTGATTTCGATCAATTTGAAAATCTTCCTGATTATCAACGTTGTTTTCATCAATACTCGACATGTTTTGCACATTTCTTGATTGAGTTATTGGAATGTTATCAATAAATTCTTTAGAAACATCAACAACCATGGAATTAGAATTTTCATTGTCAATATTCTTATCAGTTTCTTGTTTATCCTCTATTGATTGAGTATTAAAATTATCAACAAGCATAGAATTAGAATTGTGTTCAATAGTTACGGTAACTTGAATTTCATTTCTAACATTCGCAGACTGTGATTGTGTTTGTAATAATTCATCAGTTGGAATCTGCGATGACTCAACATTTACTTGAGATTCTGCTTCTTTTTTCCTTTTATTTTCTTCATCTCTCTTCAATCTTGCAAGTCGTCTTTCAATAGCCATTTGTCTGTTTCTTTCAATTCTTTTCTTAATCTCTTCTTCAGATTCCTCAACATTCGTTTTGTTAATTTCATTCGAAGAGCTGGCTGTACATGATGTATTTTCTTGATTATTAATCTTCTCTGCACTTGCCGCTTGACTACCGGAAATGGTTTGATTTAATGATTGACTGCTAGAATTTACAAGATTGTTGAAAATTTCATCATTATGTCGTTGAACAGCTTGAGCTCGAGAATTAGTAGCTTGCTTGGATTTTTCAATCTGCTCGGCAATAAGCATATCAAATTCATCCATAGGCTCTGGAGAGTTTCCTCTCTCGACATTGTCATCATCATCATCATTAGCTGCTGTGCTACCATCACCAAGATCCATGTCTCTTCTATATTTTTTAAGAAATGTTGAAAGCTCTTTTTTGGATCCAACTGTTTCAGCCTTTTCTAAAAAATCATCAAACTGATATTTTGGAAATAACCTGTGAGCCCAATGTTCCAATCGCTTCATGATTCGATCTAAATCCTTCTTCTCATGCCCTTTTCCATAAAATTTGAAACTTTCAAAATAATTTTCTATAGTGTGAATACCTTTAGGTCCAATTAGTCGTTGGGCATTCAATTTTGGCTGAGGGTTACGAATGATTCGTTTTGTAGTACCTTTTGGAACAACTTTTCGGCGAGTTTCTTCATCATCATCACCTTTTTCGTTTTCATCGTTTGATTTTCTCTCACTTGCATCAGAATTTTGATCTTCATTCTCAGATAATGACATATGGTTGTCTTTTTCCTCTAAATCTTCAAACATTTTTTTTTATTTCTTGAGTATTCACTGATCTTTCAATTATTAGATTGAATCACGACAAATTTTAGTATAAGACTTATGACAATGGTTAGGAAGTATCAAGTAATGGAAATATACTGTGGATATGGTGAATTGTGGATGATTTTGTGTTCCCGCCAAATCTAGAAATAAAAGGTGATATTACGTTTACTTCAAAAATAGGTAAATTAGAGTACTTAAATAAATTGACTGCACAAACCTTTAGAGAAAAAAACTTTTTATTTATTTATTCACTTAAATTTTATAAAAACTCAATTGTTTATTCTTGACTGTAACAATTTCTGTCATTAAAGTATTTTTTCTTATTTAAACATAACCTCACTGAAACTTTTATTTTGTTTTATCAAAACTTTATCGGAATGTTTAGAAATCACCTTCATCTAAATCATTTTCGTCAGGCTGCTTGTCTAAGAACTTATCGTATGCATCAGAGTTACTCATTCGCTCCAAAACTGATTCCAATAAACGTTTATTTAATCGGTCTGTTTGTGTTAATTCACGAACAGCTGGTTGGTTTTCTTGTTGATACTCATCGGGTCGATCTTGTCCATTTTGCGACTTATCGACCTCAACTTTATCACTGTCGCCGTCATTTCGGTTAATTGGTGTCCCCGGCATAATTAAAAAAGTATAAATGTTTAATGAAAATGCAAATGTAGAAAGTTTAAAGCTTTTATTTCGTAAAAATCTTTCGCAGTCTTTGACGTTTTGCGCTTGCGCAATTTAAGGCTCATTTACCTCATTGGTCATGCGATGAGTACTGTAAATAATTAAATATTATTAACATAAAATTTTTCACTATTTAAAAATGAATCATGACTTATACTCTAAAAAAATATTCTTTTCATAAAAAATAAAGTTAGCAGGAATTATTTTTTTATCTTAAAAAAGGTTAAAAATTATTTTAAAAATATTTAAATATTAAATATCCTTAAAATTAATTTTATAATTATTTCTAAAGTATATCAACATTCATTATTTATTGAGAAATACTTTTAAATAGTTTTATATTTGAATCAATTTTGAAAGAACCATATTTCGGACTACTTTATAGGTTATGAATGTTTCAATGAAAATAAAGATATTTGAGAGCAGAGTAATTCCACCTCTAATTAATTATCTACAACATTATATGACTAGTATCATGAACAGGTTGAAAATAATTTACCAAGTCTCTCATAATTGGAAAATAATTGGTTAAAAGTTTACCCGCGATAAAGGATAGAAGAAATATCACGCGATACAAAAAGTGGGGGATCAGCGAATCCCACAACGCGTTCTCGTAAGGGAATCAAATGGAAATGTAGCATCAGTAACAGTGAGCAAGCGCATATAATCAAGGGAAGGCGGCGATGACGACCTTCTTCTTTTTTCGAAGTGCATTATGTACTTTGCACGTGGTGCGATGGTGATGCGACAATCTGACGAATGTAGGGTGATTCGTGCCGGCATTTAGTTAGAATAGTTATCAAAAATAAAAGAGAAAGAAACAGTAGAGTTAAGTTTCAAAGGAATTCGTTAAAGAAACAGTTGGTGCTAGTGAAATTTCTAAGTACTTTTGGTGCTAAAGAGACTGAATAGCGGTAGAGCAAAAATACCGTTAAATAACTTGGATTTTCGTACTTACTTTTACATTTATTGTAATCAACTATTTTTTAAAACTATACAAAACTTATAGGTAAGCATTGCCACCATTAAATTACATATGTTGTTAATATTTTGCTGATCTATTTCTTTTTCAGAATATTTATAGACGTTAACACATATATCACGTTTACAAAAAAAAATACAGTTGATAATAATATCCGTCTATTTTTATGATACCAAAATGATCATTATCAGCACTCAAATGCAAACACTATTTTCTGTAAAAATAATACAAATTTTTAACAGATAAAGTTAGAAAAAGTGTGAGACTGCATTTAAATTTATGTAAAGAAACAAAAAATTACATGCAAATACTTTGTTCATCACACGTGTTCATCACATTGTGTAAAAATTGCAGTATGTATAAATAATGATCATAGTTGATTTATCACTATAATTAGAATTGTGAATGGTATAACTTGTTTGAAATATGTAACATTCTCTGGAGAACAATATCCAACACTTTTAATTCTCATGTTTTTATTATGACACTGCAAAAAGTTTATTTTAACTCAATAATAAGTTACTATAAAAAAAGAATAAATTTCTATGAGGAAGAAACTTGTGATGACTTGTGCCATGTAGTTGATATAAATGATCACGTGTATATTGGCGACGTGTTTATGACGCAGGATCATTGATAAGTTCTCTCTAGCTAATGCGATCGAAACGCGTGGTATGTCCTCATTAACACAATGCTTTTATTTTGAACATACATGATATCCCAACATTAATATCAATCTATGTTATATTATCATATTACTAATCATATTCAATCATTGATGTTTATTTTTTTCTTCAGAAATTAAGCTCATTTGATTAGTAGTTGTATTATTCATTAAATAGCAGAATTACAGACATTAAAGACATTAAAGACATTAATTTATTATTATTTTATCAGAGATTATACTAAAGTAAAAATGAATAAATACTGATATTAGTTTTATATTATTAGTCTATTTAAATATCTAGATAAAAAGTAAGTTTATAAAATAATTATAAAAAATTCTAAGTGGTGTCAAGTTTTTTTTTCATATATGATTTTCATTATTAATCATAAATCACTTATTCAAATTATCTTTCGGATATAAAGAATTACAGATTAAAAATTACCTTACTAATTTATTAAACTTAAAATTTTTATTCACATATTTGTTGTTTTTTTTTTTAAATCAAATAATCTTGTTTAATAACTATAAACAATTATTATTATCTTTAGCCTCACGTAATTGATGTTAACTTTTGTAATTTGTATATATGTGATTTCATGAAGATGAAATTGTATGTTTCAGGAATTTGTCACGAATATTGATGCATTCTTTGATTTTTTTCTCTCGAATCATGCTACAATTAAATGTCCAAAGTACTAATTTTTTTTTAATAATGCTTTGCAGACTTATGCAAGATAGTCATTAAGTTAATACAAGTTTTTTTATATTGACAGTTAAATAACAAACTCTATTTTGTACGTAGAACATATCAGCTCTTATTTATTCTTAATCAAGCAGTTGTTGAAGAATCAACTTGACTGTGTTTGACACGACTAACTATACATTAAACTTCAATCATTCAGGTATTTTTCTTTCACGTTAAAACATAAAAGGCATATATTTTATTTAAACATCAATCACTGAATTAAAAACTTTTTTTAATATTAATTTCTCATATACATATACCAAGATCATTATCTATTTATTTAATGTTAGTTTAAAGTAAATTGAAAATAAGAGGTTTTTTATAGAAAATAATTGAATAATCAATATCTTGATTCAAGTTTATTTTGAATAATTTATGAAATAATATTTAAATAGTAATCAAATGAATATTTAAATACATTTCTAAATGATCAGTAGTAATAATGTTTAAAGTAAAAATGAAATTTTAAATTAAATATTTGACAAGAAATATCTATAATATTATTGAAAAGTAATCTCGATGCTAACTTATAGTCGTCAATTAACACCTGCATATTTAAACGCAGTTCTTTAAAATCGATTGGTTAGATCAAATGTAAATGAAAAGTTTGAAAAGAATCTAAACACAATTGAAAAGAAAGGCGTGTCATAGAGCTTAAATTTACCGCCAGAAAGTGGGGTGATATGCTCAGCTCTATTGATTTCTACTACTTTGCTGCGTTACTTGAACCAGTGTAATTCGCGAAAGAAGTATTACAAACGTCGCAATGGTGATATTGGTGTATAAAGGTATCGTAATTTAATTTCTTATGAATAGTCTGATGTGTTAAAGAATTTTTTAACAGATAATACATAAATTTTCATTAAAAATCCAAGTGTTTGAGGATTAATCGTGCGTCTACTTTCAACCCTACTCTGTGTAGTATCTAGGAAACCGTAAGAGTGCCGAGGATATTAATTATTTTTCTAATAAAAACCTTACTTTTAGTAATTATAAATGACTCAATAATTAAGACACTTACGTCAATAGTTGGTATATACCTTTGAAGTAATTAATATATATTATTCTAGCTGATAATTGTAGTTATCAAGCTGTTGATTAGCAACTTACAGAATAGATATGATATTTTTTTCTGGTTTGCTATTGTGGGCGTAGTTGAATTTGTATTTTAATTTGAAACCAACAAGAAAAGATTTATGTTGAACAGTAGCTAATTTATCTTGATAAACATCATCATGTTCTATTATATTTCAAAGCAATTACGTTTCAAATAAGACTACGTTCTATAAACCTTATTGATTTGCAATCAGTCGATAAATTCAACAGGAAATGTATTCTACTTTAATTTTTTAACTTATTCTATTGATAGAATTGGAGCGACAAATTGTGTATGTGTTCATAAAATTTTAAAACAATTTAATTTTCATGAAAAATCATTTTAGATTTAGAGTAAATGTTTGAAAATTATTCAGAATATAAACTAGTTATGACATTGTTGGATTTTAGAAGTTACAAGTTTTCCATTTTTAGTCCTAAAATAAACATTGTGTTGAACTAAGAGTTGGTATAAAAAATTCATAAAAGTGGGAAAGTCACTTATTGTGTATGTAGGTAATGAAATAAGTACTGCTGTGCTATTTATTATTTAGGTAATTAGAATTAGGAATATCAGAATGTTACTATTAACATAGTATGATTAGAGTTGATGATAATAGTGAATATGTATAAATTAGAATCTTTAATTTGTTATCATTTGTTTACAAGTTATCGAAATAATAAATAAAAATATAAAAATCTGAAATTATTTATCACAATGATATATCTGATTGTTAAACTTCAAAGATTAGATAAATAATTGCTACAATTCATTGGCAGAATATAAAATTTTATTAATCGTCATTTATTTTTATAGATACACTTTGAACTCTATCATGCATGATATAATTTATCTGACAGTCATTTTATTTAGAATACGAAAAGTCTTTTTATATCATTTAATCGTACGAAGTCGAAGGATCAACGAACATTACCAGTTTTAATCCATATTAATATCATCTAACATTGTTACATAAATAAGTCATCTACGATAGTCAATTTATTATTTCTCTGCTTATTGAACTCATTTCTCTTTCATTTTGATAGAAGTCAAGTTTCATTTTTGGTTTCTTATTCAACAATCAAAAAGGTTTTTTGTAAATATTTTTTTTTCGGTGCTAGATAAACAGTACATAAATATTTAAGCTTTTTTTATTTTAATTTATTTAAAACAAGATGTAATGATTTAATGTAAATCGTATTACCGTTTGAATTACTTCTGTTTGAATATTAATTATTTTTTGTATTTCATTCTTGTTTCAGATAATATGTCTGCTGTGCAGCCTCATATCCCTAATGGATATCTCAATAAATTTTCTCAAGATGAAAAGGTAAGTAATTGTAATCAGTTTGCTTGTAACATTTTTTTTTTTACTCTAAAACTGTATATCTATCATCGTTAATAATGTTTTAAATATTCATTTACTATCTTTTCTAAAGTTTTAAAATTAAAAAATTACAGGTGGCTCCCACAAAAACGAGTGGAAACTATTTTTTCCCTTCATTGACGGGTGTAGATGGTAAGCATCCATATATTATTGTATGAATGATGTTTAATGTTAAGAATTTTATGATACGCACTATTTGGCTGGCTGTAATTCTGCTTTAATATTTCCAACCAAAGTTGCAATGTTGCATTGAATGAATTATAACAGGTCAGTTGGAAATATTTTGTAGTCTTATACAACTTACTTTATACTATTCAAGTTTTCAATCGAATCACGAATAATAAATACTTGTAGTGAATAACTAAACATTTTTAATATTGAACGTCATGAGTAAAGGTAAAGTATCCAAGAGTTGTCAAGATTTATCCGGTCTTGTGTACTTTCAGACTTTGATCTTTAATGGAAATTTCCAACAAAATAAAACAAAGTTCGTTATTAATTTTTTAGAGTTCAATGTTTATAAAAATAAATTTTTTTAATAATATTCTAAATATTTGAATATCATTTTAAAATATTTTGCTGATAAAAAAGGTAATCAGTTGATTTGAAATTCGAATGATAATTCTTTGCATTTTAGAAAAAATTTGAAATGTTAATATTAATTAATTTTTTAACTGAAAAAAATTATCTTCAAAAAAATTGTCATTAGAGTATTGATAAACTTTAATTTACAGGTCCTAATCAAATATTGCCATCAGACATTGACACAACGTGGGAGCCAAATGGCAGGGTACGAATCAAATATGATGAAGATGATAAACAATCACATCAATTTATTTCAGTGCCTGGTTTGCTCATGCGATCTGCTAAAGAATATCCTAATCATACTGCTTTAGTATCAAGAGCAGGTGTTGATGGAAATAGACGTACTTATACATACAAGTAAGCAAAGAATAATATATAATTTTGATAAATGAGTTATCAATATTACCAAATAATTTATGATTGAATAAATTTTTAGAGAATATGAGAGTGAAGTTCGGACAGTGGCCAAAGCTTTTTTAAAATTAGGTCTCGAACGATATCACAGTGTTTGTATACTTGGATTCAATAGCCCTCATTGGTTTATTGCAGATCTTGCAGCTATTTACGCTGGGTAATATAACTGATAAATATATTTGAATAAAATCTACTCGAAAAAATAAGCAGTTAAATTGAAATAATCTAATTGAAATTTAAATGTATTTTATACAATTTCACTAGGAGTTAGAGATAAATATCTTTAATTTATTTCAGAGGTTTTGCAGCAGGAATTTATACGACAAATTCTCCAGAGGCATGCCAATACTGTGCAGAAAATAGCAGAGCGAATATAATAGTAGTGGAAGATAATAAGCAGTTAGAGAAGATCTTGGCAATCAGAAAAGACCTGCCGCATTTAAAAGCTATAATTCAGTATGAAGGAATTGCAACTGAAAAAAATGTCTTAAGTGTAAATATCTACAGAAATTTCTCATTTAAATGCGAAAATGATAATAATTATTGTTAATAATAGAAATTAATTAATCGTATCAATTATTTTAGTGGTATGATCTTTTGGAAATTGGCAAAGCTGAGTCAGATGATAAATTGGACCAAGTACTTAGGACTATTGCAGCAAATGAATGTTGCACTCTTGTTTACACGGTAACTATTACATTATAAACAATAATAAAAAAATTATTAGTCCGTGAGACAAATTAATAGGAATAAAATTATGACTAAACTCTTTTAATTGTATTTTTCTCTTTAATTATATAGTCAGGTACTGTAGGCAATCCCAAAGCCGTTATGTTGAGTCACGACAACTTGACATTCGATGCTCGAGTAATCACTGAGACGATACAATTCAAAGAGAAGAGCGAAATAATTGTTAGCTTTTTACCATTATCGCATGTAGCAGCTCAGGTAAAAAAAACTATTCATGCACCTCTGTATTATGTGTTGCCTTTATTGCATAACTAAAAAAAACCTTGACATAAATAATTATAGCACCAATCATAAATATTGGCAGATAAGTGAAGAGCATTAAATGAAAATTAATTAAAAAAACTTTTATGATTTATTGTTTATAGGTAGTAGATATTTTCACGAGCATGTCAGTAGGAGCTACCGTATATTTTGCTGATAAGAACGCCTTAAAAGGAAGTTTAATTGAAACCCTGACTTATGCAAGACCAACAGCTTTTCTAGGCGTTCCCCGAGTATGGGAGAAAATTCATGAAAAGATGATGATAGTTGCTCGTAATAATGGACCAATAAAAACATGGATTGCCACGTGGGCAAAAGCACAAGGATTATATTACAATATGAATAAAATGAATGGAGTAGATTATAAAACGTGGGGTTATCTCTTTGCCAAATGGCTTGTTTTTAATAAAATCAAAGCCACCCTGGGATTAGATAGATGTAGGATATTCGCTACTGCTGCTGCACCACTCAGTGATGATATTAAAAAATATTTTATGAGCCTTGATATACCAATTATGGAGGCTTATGGAATGTCTGAATGTGCTGGTGCTCATACTCTCAGTACAGAAAACAAATATAGGTATTTAATCAATTATTTTTCAAATTCATAGATGATCTGATAAATTGAATTATTTTTTAAATTGTAATAAAATAAATTTTAAATTGTATTTTTACAGATTAGGTAGTGTAGGAGCAGCTCTCCCAGGAGTAAAAACGAAATTATGTGATCCTGACAATACCGGAGAAGGTGAAATATGCATGGGAGGTAGACATGTTTTTATGGGTTACTTAAATGCACCAGAAAAATCGAAAGAAGCTAAGGATGAGCATGCTTGGTTACATAGTGGTGATTTGGGAAGAATAGATAATAAAGGACTCTTATACGTAACAGGTAATAATAGAAAAATTGATATTCATAAATTATTAACAGCACAATACATTATTCAACTTCTTTTATTCACATGGAACTATGTTTGTAGGAAGAATAAAAGAACTCGTTATAACTGCTGGTGGAGAAAATATTCCACCGGTTCATATAGAACAAATGTTATTAAAAGAATTGCCAGCTCTTAGCAATGCTATGCTTATTGGAGATATGAAAAAGTATCTCACCATTTTAGTTACTCTTAAGGTAAGGAATTTTTCCCGATAAACTTTATATTGTTTTAACAAAACACTTTATACATTTACATGAAATGAACATTTTTGTCTGGAAAATTTAGACTGAAATGGATCCAGACACGGGAGAACCTTCCGATAAACTTCTTCCAACTACAATATCATGGGCAAAGTCTATTGGAAGCAAAGCGAAAACACTTTCAGAAGTTTTAAGCTCACGAGATCCAGCTGTGAGTTGATTCTCATAAATTTATATGTATTGATGTAAGTTTGTTGTTTTAATAATTTTTTTAAATGCTTATTTTTTTATAGATTTATCAAGAAATCGAAAATGCAATTAAAAGGATGAATGAGCATGCTACAAGTAATGCTCAAAAAGTACAAAAATTCACGATCCTGCCACATGACTTCTCTATTCCTACTGGAGAATTAGGTCCTACACTTAAATTGAAACGAAATGTAGTTGTCAAAAAGTACGCCGATCTCATTGAAGAGATGTACAAGTAACGAAATAGCCTCAATAACTGAAACGTCAATGTTAAATACAATCTTATAAATAATAAATAGGTAGGATTTTTTTTTTGAATTCATTAAGTGTCAATCTATATTTATGTCACTTAAAAGATTAGCTGTGTTCATGGATATTGACAATTTTCCAAGCTAATCTTATGTCAGTTATAAAATAATTGTTCATAATTACTCAAAAAAGAAAATTTGGAAATGTCTACCTATTTATTTTTTATGACTTTACTTCATAAAATGAAATGTCTTTATATCTTTATCTGTCAAATAAGGAGGGATCGACATATTTAGCAATTATGAGTTTTTATTTTATTTGAAAATAATCAGAGACTCAAAATTTGTTATGAAATAATTTTATCAAAAAGTGTATAATATAGAAAAATTTCTATATAATTATATTATTTATTTCAATTCAAATCAATTAATAATTGACCTTATGAAATGAGTCAAAAAAACGTGAAATTTTCATACGTCTGTAATATATTTAGAATTAAAATTGTATTCTGTACATAATCATATTCGGAAATGCTCTCGTACTCTCTCACTATCTATTGAAATAAGATATAAAAAATTAAAAAGTATGTATGTTCAGTGGCTCTGCAGTGAGAATATTTACAAGTATGTTAAATGATTTTAGTGAACGAGTACTTAAATAATATTTGTAAGAAAGTGCCTTCTGATAATTGGATAACAATTTACTCATATTTTATCAGTGCTAGAAAAAAACTTTTCGTATTTAACTTCAATTAGTTAAATGATATATATAGATTTTTCACCAAAAAATTATTCAAACTTTTTAATTCAAGTTCCTTTTATTTATTGTAGCTTTAATCACTAAATGCAATGGTTAAATAAGTAAGCAATTAAAAATAAAAAAGATATATGAACGAGACAACTTAATAATTATGAAAAGCCCCTCTGTGAATAAAAATTGAGGTGGGAAAGACTTGAATTGAGAAAAGTTAAAATTAGAGTATCGTTGAGAAAGTTAATTGTATCAATCGCCGAATCTCAGTTTTCAGAATTTTATATTGTGGAAATGATGTTTCGTGAGAATGACAATTTCTTTATTATGTTTAATGATTGAAATTCGTATGTGCTAAAAATTGTTATCAATAGCCAAATTACTGTACAAGGTGTAAAATGAAATCGTGATAAAGGTAGGCAAAAATAGTACGACAATAAGCACTATGTAATTTAATTTTGTTTGAAGTGGCAGGCGTTATGAATTTTGTATTTGCAGTCATCAAGGGGTTAAAAAGGTTGTATATACTGTAATATTTATAATAAAATTATTAATATTTACTTCATTGTCATAAATATATTACATTACCCAATCTTTTCCATCAATATTAAATAAAGAAAATAATAAGTTAGTTGCTAATTATTTAAATATGTTGTCGGGTGTGTGTTTTTTTTAAATAATATGTATGTAAATTAAGAAAAGACAGACTATTTATTTATTTATATAGAACCATTATATTACTAATTGTTTACATAGTTTATAATATTGGAATCTTTGAGATGCCCAAACACTTCAGTTGATTTAACAAGGCTGCATAAAACAGATTTATTCAACAATCTGATGAACGATTTAATTTTTATAAGAAAATAGTCTTACTAAGCACATCACAGCGGTTCAAAAAATGCAGATCCATAAAATCATTTCGATTCTTTGCGTCTCTAGTATGTATAATTATTGATTCAATGATTACTTTGTTATTTATTAGCACTATTTACTATGCTTTCTAATGAATTCAATGATTCTTTATTCAAACAGTAATAAAAGTTGTTTTCTGTTATCATATTGATATAAGTATACGATGGATCAGTTTCAAAAATACTTTCTATCTTTCTGAATCTTAATTACTTGGTTAATAATCTCTATATCAGAATCTTATCATGCAAAAACTTAACTTGATGTAGTTTCAAAAATGACACTTTACATATAAAAAAACTATCAACGCATAAGAGTATGAATATTAAGTGCTTTAGAACATGGAGTTCATTTGTATCTATGGAAAATAATATAAATTATATTTTTTTTTTTCATTTTTTTTTTACCCATAAAGGGAAGATTAATCACAAAAAATGTCCTAATGTTAATTTTGTTAAACTATTCAGATAACTTGTAAGTTTTTAAGCATTTTCGGACGATTTTTCTGGTTTTTTTAATTAAATAACTTACAATAATGACTGTAAGCTAATGATGATGAAGAGGATTTTCTTACGAGCTAGTTGATGTATTAAATTTTTGCTGAATGATAGAAGTTTTGCGTTGAGGTACGCTTTCTGGGGTAGGAATAGCATCACCAGTGGGCAAAACTCCTGTTGGTTTTGGTTTTGCAGTTGATTTTTGTTTGGCCATTTGATAATCACCAGAATCGAAGTATTTTTGCTGAAAAAATAGTATACTTCTGTTAATATTTACTTTTACACAAACACTTGTAGATTGATGATAAATTTTGAGTAAACAATCAATTGATTTTTTTCGTTTTTTAAAAATAATTCTTGATACTTTTATTTTGTAACACAGCATAAAATAATTTTTCGAAATTAAGTTACTAAGTGAATATTTTAATTAAACAAAACCTGGCGTAGTTATTCCTTTTAAAGTAAAAGATAAAAAGTATTTTAGTGATTAATTAAATACGTACTCCTTTCGCTAGCCTTTTTTGTAAAAAAGCTGAATGTCCACTAATGGGACGACTCATGGTATTTGGAAATTTTGCTTTCAACTTAGCTTCTTCTATTTTTTCAATGTCATTAGATGATAACTGGAAAGAAAATATGAATCTATTATTGATTTCAGTGTAGAATGACGGTTAGAATCATGACGAGCAAAATATCATGAATAAAATTAAATACTATTATGATATTTAACATTACTTATAGATTTATAGCTTAAATGAAAGATGATTAATTCAGTTTTACCTCCATTGTTTGTGGTGTTTCAATTGTTGTCTGCTCTTCGGTCATTTTAACACGTTTTGGAGTACTGTTGCTATCAGCACGAGTACGTTTAGGCCCAGTTACCCTCGACAGTCACCTTTCGAAGCCTCCAAAATCGTCACACATCGAGATAGCAATTGATATTTACTCTTTTAAACTAATTAAACACCTTAAATCTTCTCCTATATAATTCATACATACAACAAATAGGTATTAATAATCAAATTATCACTCAGAGAATAATAAAAGATGAGAAACAAATTGTCAAATATACATACAACACGTAACTATTACCAGCAGATCATGTATTCAAGCGTCATTGCTGTCGGCATTGTTACCAACTGAAACTGTGCCGACATTGAATTTGGAAAAAGTCGTTATTTATTTGGTGTTTATCTTCTAAGTCTGAATGTCAACATGGATTCAATACGGAAGGTTATAAATAATCTAATTGTTTATTTTTGTTAGTTATAATTAATTTAAAATAGTTAGATGAGTAATATTTATTTATTATGTTATAGAATACTTTAAATTTCACAAATGATGGTGAATTCACTACCAGTTATTTACATTTAAAGGAAAATCAACTACTTCAAACACAAGATCTTGCTCCTGATGAAATGTCTCGTAGATTAAATTTATTATTAGAAGCTATTAATGAAACTGCAGCTGAGAATGAAATTCTCAACAAAAACCTCTCAAAATTCTTGGCTTCTTTGGATTTGGAACCTCAACAACTATCTAAAGAAATAACTCAAGGTTTAGACAAAATTCAAGCTATTATTCAGAAGGAAAATCTATCAGAGATAGATGAAACTTCAATGTTAATAAATTTACATCAAAAAAAAATAGACGAGCTGAAAAAAATTCGAGAAGAAAGACAATTGAAGAAAAAATATGAAGATCTTTATAATGAATACTCTCTTCTTCAAGAGAAATTGAATACTCTTCAAGGCAAAGTAAATAATTTAACAGAAATAATAGTTTCTTCGAAAGAAGGTAATGAAAGTGAAAGCTCAAATATAATTCACAAGACAACGAAATTAAATGATTACAAATGCGTCTATAAAAGTTTGGAGGATGAATTAGCAAATTTAAAAGTGACCGAAGATTATGCTCAAAATATTCTTGGTAAGTATAAGCAGTACATGCAAACTTCCGGAGAATTAGCTGATATTAATGAATCATTGAGTCAATATGGGGACTTACCAGCTGATATTTTGCAAGCAAAAGCTGTTGTTGAACAACTCGAAAAACGTCGACAAGAAGTCAAGCGCTTACTTGATGAAAAAATGAATTAAATTTTGTTATTACTATTAATTTCAATTCTTCAGTATTATTTTATATTTTTCCATGCTTCTCAGTTTAGACATACTTTTTTTACGAATACATTTTTAATAATTATCAATATAATACTCTAGACCTTCGATTATAAATTAATTAATGTTGAAATAAAAGTTTGATATTTTTATTACAAATATTATCTTAGTTTATTTTTTATAAAATTATTATTCACTGTAATTGAGTCTGAAATCCATATTCAGATTGAGCTTGGCGTCTAGCTAATTTATTATAGAAGCCCATTGGTTTTTCAACACTGGACTATTTTCAACTTAAACCTGATCAACGCCTATGGTTGCATTTTCGAGTTTTGTGTTTATTATATTTGTTAAATTATCATTATAACTAACATCGATTTAATTTGTAGTTATTTTACTTTTTTTTTTTTATTTTTATACTTTTCTATCACGCAAGTTTATTCTTTTTTTCTTTCAATAATCAACTACAAAAAAAAAATATTAAAAGACAACCATTGATCGGAATAATTTGATATTATTTAAAAAATAATTATTTGTCTGGTTAGGACTCAGGATTTGTGATTTTTGCGTTAAAAATTTCTCTTATAGTTTAGTCGTCCTCGAAACATTATTTTATGAATTTCTTTTCTTCCTCTCATGTTCTCTTTGCAACTTCTCCTCTTCTAAAACTTTAGAAGGCAAGATGAACTTAAACTTTTGGAGCATGATGTTAAGGCTTGTTCCAGGCAATCCAACGGTCTTAGCCACTCAGGAACGTATTCTGAGGGAGGAACAGGCATATTTAATGTCATTCAAGCTTTTATTCCACATAAGGAACTAATAATCTGCACAAAATTTATCAATTAGTAATAACAGATTTATTATATTGATTAAATTTTACTTCATAATTACAACTTTATATTTACTTACCAATTATATATAAATAACTTAAATTTGATGAATTATTTAAAATTTTATTAATAATATTAATATGTACATTTCTTAAATGTAGTCGTTAAATCATGATCAAAATAAATTTTTTTATAGTGATTCAGGTAAAATCAAAATAATACTTCGTAAACTGTAATAATTTTCACTATATAAATCATCTATTCGTATAACTGCAGCTATTTATTTTTCTTAAATCCTTTACAAAAGTGATTAATTCTTTTTCAGATTTAGGATTCAGACTGATAAACTTTTTTCTTAATATGATCAGATCTGATTTTTCTGTCTATAGAACATTAACAACTTTATTTAGTTGTGATCAGATTCAAACAGATCTGAATACCTTTCATCTGTTAGCATCTAAATAGATGTCATGTCTATTTAGATCGTTTCAGATCTAAAATTTTAATCTGATTATATCTGTTCCATCTGATCAGATCTGTATTGTCACATAATACTAATCTGATCAGAGATGGCCATACCTAAACTCGTTTTTCACGGGCTTCTCCAACTATCATAGATTTGGCGTAATTAGAATAGAGAAGTGAACCTTGTTGACAAGATACTGAAATTCAATACTTTAATAATACTCTAGACTCTCGATTATAAATTAATTAATGTTGAAATAAAAGTTTTGATATTTTTATTACAAATGATATTTTATTTTATTTTTTTATAAAGTTATTATCCACTATAATTGAGTCTAAAATCCATATTTAGATTTAGCTTGGCGTCTATTCAATCTATTAGAAGCCCATTGGTTTTTCAACTCAAGCTCCATAGCCTTAGCTTGCTCAGCGAGATAAGTAATTTGATGTTTCTTTTTCGATTGACCACCTGCAGTAACTTTTAAAGAAATTGGTCTCTGTATTGGTTCTTCTGTTAACGCTTTAACTAACCATTCCCTTTCATCTGGTTTTATATCTTCTCCACTGATATGAATAATTTCAGCTTCATTTATCAATTCATTTTTTCTTTTAACTCCTCTTTTACCACAGAGATACTCAATTGCCTTTTCATCAAATGCTAAATTTCCTTCAGTATCTACATTAAATTCTTGTTCTGGTACTGGCAGTTTTGGACCAACTTCAGCTTTATTTTTTTGAATAATTTCATCTTTGGGTAAATTCATTACAGTACTTATTAATTTCTTTCCATCTTCTGTGGTTCCAGTATCTTCAACATCATTTATATTTGAGCTAGAAGTGGTTTCTACTGAATTTTTCATCTCTTCCAGAGGTAGCATGTTTGAAGCAACAATTTCATCAGAAAGAGGAATATTTATTGGTTCAGAAAGTGAGAAAAAGTCGATACTTTTTCCATCTTTACTATCCTTCTTATCATCTTCATCTTCTGAATCTGAATCCAACATAGGTGTTGATTTAGTTTTATTAGAATTAACTTTAGTTTTTTCAAGAGCACGATTTTTTGCTTGATGTTTTATTTGCGTTGGTGTTAATGTATTTTTCATAACTTTCTTTGTCAAAGTATGTGGAACTAATTTAGCTGTGCTTATTAGTTCATCTTTTGGAGGAGGAAGTAAATTCAATACTCCAGGTAATTTCTGAAAATAAAAGCATAACAAATAAATTTCTTTATTTTATTTCAAGAACTTTTGTTATAAATTCTAGATAAATGTTAAACTTACTTTTGAAGGTTGAGGTTTTGTCATTTTTTTATCCTTTTCTTCATCGAGATCATCAAACTATAAAAAGCATTATTTAAATAACATCATTTATTGTGTAAATTTATCGTCTGATTTACAACATAATAAGATTTTAACTTACATCAGATAATGAAGGAATGGAAATCTGAACAGGACCTCTTTTTTTCCCCGGTGGTTTTTCAATGGGAAATTTATTTACTATTACAGGAACATCTTCTTCAAGAATGCTACTACCGACTAAATTGTCCTTAGGTGGTGGGAGAAGACTTGAGAAAATACTTTCTGAAGGACGTATATCGTCGTCTTCATCCTGCTGTGATTCTAACCTAGATTTTTTTTCAGTCAACACTGGAGTATTTTCGAGTACCTTATCAACATTTATGGTTGCGTTTTCGAGTTTTGTGTTTATTATATTTGTTGAATTATCATTACAACTAACATCGATTGAATTTGTAGTTATTTTATTTCCTTCTTGAGAATCATCATTGTCACTCTCATCACTACTTCCATAATCGACTAGCCCTAACAGACTCATGTTTGCTGGAAAACTTTTATAAATAAAAAATTTAACTATTATAAACCTTTAACTTTATAAATCTGATGTTGTTAAATATTGAACACTTTATTTCTGTAGAAAATAATAATCAATTTAAACAATCAAAAGGTGTTTACGATCTTGTGCAAAACACGTATTTATTCTTTATGACATTCACTATCATCACTACTGCCATCTGCCAACAATAATAATAAGTGTCAATGAGGAAGAAACAAGTAGCGCCCTCACTTTTAAATAAACATAAGGACAATTGACAATTAATTTAATTAATTCTAATTGTTAAGTATCTACGTAGTTCATTAAACAAATTCGCATTTGCTTTTAATGTCAAGTAAATAAGTATTTTTTTCAATATTTATAATTAAACTAATTGAGAATTAGTTATATTATAATTATAGATGTAAATATAAAATAATCTTTTATAAAAAAAGTCAAAATCATAAGTAAAAAAATAAGTAGTTAGGTTATGTGACGCATGAATGGCGGTAAAACATTTCCGCAAAAATTTAATAATGAATCGTGAATCACTGAGAGAGTTTTTTTTTAAATTAGCAAGTGTAATTATTAGTCAGAACACAGATATGAACAAAGGGCGTGGATTTGGTATCAGTTGAAATCCCTGATTACGTCCGTCTGCAGAATCTTGCTCTTTTATGCAATTTAAGCGTTTATTAAAGTTTGCTCGCAAATGAAACGAAGCCCATATAACCTACCTAATTTAGCGAGTAGCATTTTCGAGTGGGGACCACTCCAAGAGAGGAGGCAGGGTTCTATTGACAGCGGTTATTGCCTAACTGCGTACCTCAACCTAATATGCGCGCTCGGGGGATCTGCATACAGGGCCACCCGAACGAAAACTGCGAACACGCTCGCTCCAATCTTTAATTCGCGGCAGTCAACGAGCTTCATGCCCCAGGCTTCAACACAGTACTTTCATAATGTCTGATGTATGCTTTAATGTTCTTTTATTCCAACCATTTTATCAGTTTTATCTTTACCCTTCACATTTATTCCATTCTTTTCTCTCTTTTCTATTTTTCTGTAAGTATTCTTGATTTTTACTGTTTTATTATTTTCTATATTTATTCACAATATCAATCATATAATCCGTTATTATTTCTAGGAACGAGAAAGCAAAAATGTACATCTGTAATGATTCTAAAATCAATTGGTGAGTTATAAGTTTTTTGTTTTGTATTTTTAATCCCTAATTTATGATAAATTGCGGTTGATATTCAAATTAACATAAAACGTTCAGTTTAACACTAATTAATGAGCGTTAAATATATATTTAATTTCGTGTAATGATGTAATTTCTGGTTGGGTTTAGAATTGATTTTTACTATGAATTGACTTCTCTCGTGAAAATTGGCGAAATAACGTGTCTATAAAATATTCAATTTTCTATATGATTACTCTCTTTTGTTAGGTATTTTCAAGAATATCCATAGACAATGATGGCTGCATTTGAAACTCTAGTTAATTTACAGAATAATATTAGCTTGACAAGTAATGTTTAACTCTACGCAGTATACCGGTGAAAACGATGACATCACTATTAAACTCCCGTCAACCTGGGAAAATTGATTAAACCATCAAATTAGCTCTACCAATATTAACACATCAACGTTCAAGCTGCCTGACTCTCAATCCTTTCTATACCTACCTACTCTACAGTTCCCCCTGTCTCTTTCTACTTTATAGTTACGTGCTCTATCGGCCATTCAACATTCTGATTATTCTCTAAACGCTCCTAGTCCGCAACAAGTTTGTTCGAGGAGCATGTAATTTTCTGTTTATCGCCTGTCAATGTCCTATGACCTCTACAATCAACAGTTAATTACGCCAAATCCACTAATCATCCACTTAATTGGCGTATATACCGAGATTTGTTTATTTTGACCTATTTTATGGTTTTCCTATTAATTAGGTTGATTTCAGAACATTTATCAAAGGTAATAAATGAGGTCTAAAAAGTGCAAGGTGCCAAAAAAGAAACACCTGACGTAATTATTTACAATTATTGCCTTCTGGCAAGTTCCACAATTTTTTCACGATTTTTTTCATCAATTATTTCTTAAAATACAAAATGGAATTGAAAAAATACGGAAGTAATTAAATGAATATTTTCTTTCACAAAATGAGTAGGTTTCAAAAATGCTATATTTGGAATTTTTGAATGAAAAATTGGAGTACACATGACGTGATGGTTTAAAATCATATAAATTATATTGTATTTTACGTCATTAATTATAATTCATAAGTTAATTTATAAATCAATTTTTTGCTGTTAATAAATATAATAAATATTAATAATAATTTATGTAAAAAAATTCCCGGTCGTTCAGATATCTCAGGAGTTCTGATTGTGAAAGATCACTAAAATCAGCAATTAATCATCAGAGATTTTTTTCATCAACAAAATATGTTTCGGTAATTAAATTTACATCTCCTTAATTATATGGAAGCCTCTAAAAATTAATTAAGAATAATTGGCAAGGTCTACAGAAAGTATATAAAAAAAAAGCAGCAAAAAAATCAGACACATATAAATGTCTAATCAACAAATGTATGAAGATTTATTGGCATTTTAAAATTTCTTGTATAGAGGATTTAATTGGGCAAAGTTGAAGCCTCAAAATAAGAAGTCTTGATGATTTGTGCAGTGCAGGATGTACAGCGTGTCGGACATATACAGTAATGTCAAGGGAAGTGTGAACAATTTCGCGCATTGTACACGCGAGTTAAACTATACAAGAGGGTGAGGATATAGAGCCCCATATGGATGTCTGCCGAGATAATTATTGGGAGGCCGTTTGAAACTAACTGTTTCCTTCATTAGCAGTCTCAGTTCGCTCGTTTCTCCCTTGAATTTTGCACGGAATTGCCCGCTATTATCATAATTGCGCTATTACCGATAATATCTGCAACTCTCGGTCTACGATGCGCTTATAATCCATTTTCTATTTATAGTTCTAGTGCTTTTGGAGTGAGAAAAGCCGTTCAACAGCTTCCACACTCTCTCCTTTACTTTACTCTCACATCATTTAGTTCAATCATTGTTATCCCCCCGTTCGCCAGACGTTAAAATCACTATACGATTATTGTGATAAATAAAATAATACATAAATATTCATTATTATTATTAATATCTCTATATTATCTATCGTACATCGTGGTTATAAAGTGTGTATTGATATATATATTTTCTTTTAATTCTTGTATCGTAATTAGGCCTCGCAGTAGGTGGTGATGATCTGGGTCTGACAGTTTTTAGAAGGCTACACAACATAATAGAGGCTGCCCTCAAGCCCGCAAATCAATTTTCAACTCATTATTATCATTCAGGTGTGCCCCCAGGCATCTCAACATATCTACCATACATTTAAATCCATCTAAATTTTAAAAGTATAATAAAAGTTGCAATAATTAAAACGTAAACATATTTTTTTTACTCTATATGAGTTTTAATTAGAATTAATGGGAAGTCATGAATAGTGTTAGACAGATTGAATAATCTATTTCAATTTTTATTCAGTTAACTTTCGTCTTCTGATTGCTTTCAGTAATAAGATGTATTATCAATTAAAATATCATTTTTGGATTAAAAATATATAATGATCACTGATAAATATTTTGGAAGATGTAAAAGTCTTTACTAATTAAAAAGAATGGATCACGGAGAAAAATCATGTGGTAGATTTTGCATAAAAAGTTATGTCGATTTTTTTAAGTAATTTTTACATAATTTTAAGTAAAGACTACATGTTGTTTGTGTTCAAACTATTGTAGACCTAATTAAAAATTACATGTAGATTTATGTCACTTCTTTATCGCGTTATTACATTGGTTCTGTGTAATTTTGACATTGAACCAATGCTACATTTCCTCGTCACAAATGTTAAAGAGTTTTCAAGTTCCTTTATTGAATCTGTTATGTAGAAATTACTTTCTTGTAGAGTCAGATTTACTCACAGGCAAAGTAATATAAACATATGATGACCGCAGGTTTCCTAGACTTCAGTCATCGGGTTTTTTTACTTCAGAGTTCTGTAGATTTTACTCAAGTATGAAATAAAAACAACTGATCACCTAAGTTATTGGTGTGCTAATACGAAAAATACTCCTTCCATTTATCGATGGACAGTTTGAATTTTTAGTTGACCTGAAGCAGTGAGCCAGGACACACTATTGAAGCGCTGTAATTTATTTAGTGATTATAATTTATAGTGAATTATAGTTTATTAAGTGATCATATATTAATGATTAAAATTTATCCGAAAGTACAGTAATTGGAATTCAAAGAAAACTTTCAAATGACGTTTACAATAAATATTTTTCAAACATAGTTCTCAAAAATTGTATAAATAAGGTGTCTTGGTTGACTGTTTCAGGAATTAAATATACAGAAAACACAGCAATTATAATTGAAATGAATAATTTTCCTGTATTTGGAATTATCGATAGTGTGTACATGGCTAATAATAACTCATATTTCTTAGTTCATAAGTTACATCTTATTTGTTTTAATAATCACTTTTTTGCATATGAAGTGGAAAAAAGTGACGATTTGTATGTCATACTGTATAATAATCTTCCAAATGTTGAACAATGTTTATTCATTGAAAAACATGAAAAAAAAATTGTAATGACTCGTGTGATTTGGAGTTTTTAATAAAAAATATTAAATGTTAAACATGATGCATTTTTTACAGTAATTTTGTTGCAATTATCCCAATAATTAAATTCCAATAATTTACTGCATATTAAATTAAATCAAAAAAATATATAAGTAGCATTAACATAACGTTCCTAATGTTACTTTTGCATATTACTTATGTATATTTGATCGTTTCTTTATTATGTAGCTTTTACCAAACTTTTATGCTGAGATGAGTTTTTATTTTTACATATCTTTAATTAATTTTTACTTCAGTTGTTATGTAAATTTTACACATTATATGTGCTAAATTTATATAAAACTATATGTCAGAATTGTAACTTAATTTCTGTCGTTTTTATTTATAATTAAGTAAACTCGAACAGCGTTCGAACATTACATAAATTTTTTAGTAGTTAATACTTAACAGTGATGCTGTCCATATACGTACATTAAACTTATGTAAAAATAACAAAAAATTAAATAAAATCTACTGAAAATTTTTCTCCGTGATTAAATGATAAAAATTTTAACACTTATCATGATTGTTGTTATTTATAAAATTAATACTGTATTGAAAATACTAGCCCAAGTTTGAAAAATAACATTAAAAACCTTTGAAACAGTTTCATTAGAAAAAAAAATGTAGGGGAATATATATTTCTTTGATAGAGAAAAAATATCTATTGAATAGTCTATTCTACATCAAATAAAATTTTGGAGTCAAATAACAAATTGAGGAAGTGGGAGGTTCTAATTACGAATATTAATTTCGTTTTTAGTATATAAGAACTGTCAAGGGGAGTTTTGTGAATGCAGATGTCAACCTATTATCATACCCGTGCCAACTCTGTACCTATACAATAAAGATTCAACGATTCAGCCTCTCCCACTTGGTATTCGCGTGTCCCCTACAACGATGTTTCATCGTAAAGTTAACAATGTTACTTGCTTCTCAATTCTCTTTTATATAGTATAGAATATCATTATCAAATGCGTCGTCTCCAGAAGAAATTCATTTTCCGCTTCTCTTTTCAACCCTGTCAATTTTTCCTTCCGCAAAATTATTCAACTTTTCAGTCTTTAATTTATTCTAATATAAAAATTAAAACTATACGTGTCACAGTATATTAATATAGAAATTTATTTTCAGATTCCAGACATGAAAAAAGTGAGGAAATAAGAGCCAGGAGATATAATAAAAAGAGACAGGATATAGAGTAGATGAGAAATAATAAAAAGCTGGGAAGAGATATTTAATAAAAGTACGAATATCGCCAATAACTCATCGTCATTCGTGAATAATTTCCAATCTATTGGAAAATAATTATACTTTATCGCAGGCCCTCTTGACGGTTCTCAAATCGCTCAATTATACTTTTCCCTTGTTGCAGTCATCATTGTCTTGCTGATCTATCCAAGTACACTTTCTCTCCTTGTTCTTTTTAACCTTCTCATATACATTCTGTCCTTCTCATTTCCGTCTCTTCATTGCTTTCACCACTTTCTTCGAATCCACTCCACGCTTATCATCTTTTCTCTCTATGAACTTCGTATTTATTATTATTGCTTTATGATCCTCATTAAGCTGATTAGTTGAAATTATTTAAAATATTTGAAATGTTTTAAAAATTTTTATTCAATCTATTATTTGCATATTCTCATTTACAATATTCATCTTCATTTCAATTCTTTTTAATTTTAGTTTATTCATTTGGATAGAAAATTATATTAATAAACAAACAACTTTGATGTCTGAGTTAATTATAGTTCTGTTTTGTTGAAGACTATCAAACTTTTACGCTATTCATACAAACTCTATTGTTGGAAAATTTTCAAATAAAGCTTCAATAGAGATTTTTAAATAAATATAAAAATAATCTACTGGTTTTAATTTATTATAAATAATAATGAATTTAGAAAATTTCAGCTAATTTTTTTTTTACATGCAATTACACTTGTTAAAATCTTTCGTCATTATTTAAAAAAAATTTTTAAGTAGTGCAATTATTTGGAAATTATTTATTAAAAATAAATGAGCGAATGAAAAAATTTATTAAAGTAATTTGCGAGTAATTGAGCCTTAATCGCATGTGTGACGAGCCGAATTACGGAAAAGCGATAAAGTAAATGTGAGTAAGAGCACGGAAGTACGTGACTGATGTAAAAAGAGAGAAGAGAAGTGTAGAAAAAGGACGATAGTAGGGTCATCAGATACACTCTGCTAGGGATTTGAAACGAGGGAGTTAAACGTGGGCGAAGAAAGCAAGTGGAATCGAGTTAGAAGGGACGAGTAGATCCGAGGGAGGAATCTCTATGGCATGCGTGAATGCCCCTTTATAAAGAGCGCGGAAGGTGAATTGATATAAGTGAGCGGTTATTTCGCGATCATTTGGAATTCACCCGTGAATACTCCTCACACACTAGACGCTCTTTTTACATCAATATATCGAGCTCACACTTATTCAGACACGCATTTATCTGTCGTCTACGTGATAGGATCAAAGCAACACAATTTCTTCTTATGGGAAATTTTCATGGCATATATTATTATTCTCATCTTCAGTAGTTTTCAATAATTGATCCAACTTGTTTACATTCTTGAAGATGATTAAGACATTTTCTTATAGTTATGCTTGAACCTTTATCTTCTTTCTAATTGTTCAAGCTAACTAAAGTAATGATATTTGTGATTATCATCATTGAGGTCCTTCTATTTTGGAGCTACTGAATCGACGACAACCCAGGTAAAATACCAGATATTATGAGAGATGTGGGTTCACTTGTCTTCACAAAGTATCAAGGAATTAGGTCTTCCTAGCATTGTTGAAAAATTTTCGCTTTACAAGTTTAAGACTCAAGACAAAACAATTAGTAAACCTTCAGGTCAAAATGTGAAATGACATGAGCAGACTCTTTTGTTAGAAAATGGGTTTATCCAACACTGACCTACACTTTTTGGACTACTTTTCTTAATAAGGAAAGTAAATATCACTTTACTCTCTTTCTTTTCCTGAAATTGAAATTAGTTTTTAAAACTGGCAAACATGAATTCACATGATTATTGAATTCTTCTAGGATATTTATACAAAAAAATTTGTTAACATCAACAAATTAAACACTTCCCCAAGTAAATATCAAATAAAAATAATGCGGTAAATTGTCGTTATATCCAGAAAGCTCATTTTATTAAAGTTGTAATGAAAGCTAGTTTTTTAAATCTCTGACAAGAAAAATTTGATGATAAAAAAAGGTCAATGCGTACAAAAAGAATCGTAAAGCAGTGGAGTTTTTGGAGGAAATAAAATAAAAAACAAACCAGTAGTCACAAACACAATAATTACTATCCCTTTATTTGTCGTGTTTGTTGAATTTCTTCATCCCTCTATCATCATCTTCGTCTAGTCCATGACGGGGGTTTTATAGCACAGTGCAGCCCGGATACACTGCGGTTCTCGCTCGGTAACGGCTCGTCGTGGTACAGAAGTTAATAAAATCCCAGCAGCCACACCGCTATGCCGCCGGGGGACAGTTTATTTAACAGAGGCGTATAGTTGCCTCCTACACTGTTGATATATATTTCTTCTCGTTCTCTCATTTTCCCTTTTTATTTAACGGTCTCTCTTGATCATCAGCTAGCTACTACACACTCATTGCGATACGTTCGCCAATCTTTACTTCGTTTATCCCATAAAAGTCAGCGGTTCTTCAAAGTTTCCTGCTTTTATCTGCACACGAAGTAGACACAACAATAGCATTGCCTCAGGGCCCAATAAACGACTTGATGCTCCGCGTGGCTGACTTACTCTCTGCTGATTTTATCCACTTGAAAAAAAAGTGTATCAACTACTAAATCCGCTTCCTCTCGCTTTATATATCATTATGAAGAATTAAATGGAGACTCAGGAAGCATAAAAGTAATTATAAGATCAGACGAGATAATTTGTAAAAGAAACTCCTCAAATTCATTCGTTATTATTATCATCTTACTCTTCTCTTCTCATTTTATACATTCAAGATGAGCATCTTTATTGTTACTAACTTTTGACACTCGAAGACACGTAGTTTATGGGTTTCTATAAAGCGAACGTTTGATCTTCTAATCGGCTCGTCGAGCCTATTGTCAATTGTATTGTAGCAGTTTGCCATTCATTTCTATCTCCTCTTCAATAGTCGTGTATGCTCGTCTCTTGCAAATTTAACACTCTATTTTCAAAAAGACAATTTTTATCGCACGTCTCCAATATTTATTTGCACATTTTTCAACGATTCGGTGAGATTCTGTTCTTTTATGTGTATTGGAATGAATGGATGAAATAAAAGTTGGCATTTTTTTTTTATTTCATGCTAGGAATGTCATTAAAATTGTGAAGAGTAAATTTAGTTGCATTTGACGATGAAATATAATTGGCTTATCACTAATTTTTTTGCTATCTTTATTGCCCAATTTAATTTATACAATATGAAAAAAAATAAATAAAACTTAATAGAAATTATTTTTATATTTTTTTGAGAATATTTTCAATACGTCATGCTGTTATTCGGAATAAGAAGTACTGAACTTTTGGGATAATTGCTAAAGTAAATAACTTGAAATATTTTATTTTAATAATTATGAACATAATAACATTGTATTCAATTAAGATATATTTTTATTAATAATTGCAGCTTTTATTTAGTGTACAATCCGGAAAGTGAATGTCAATCAAGTCTTGTAGGATAATATATATCCTGCTGTAAATTGCAACGTGCGGGATGTTTGTAATTAATCCAAGAATATCTCCGACTGGCGTCAATCTCTTCGAGTTGCTTGACAGACATTATAAACACGTAAAGGGTAGGTTCCTTATTTAAATTGCAATACGAAGTTGGTATTAATAATATTCAGTTATATAATATATATATTAAATCTCATCAACATATAGAAAATGTAGGTGCAGTAAGATTTGCTGCAGGCTCTCATAAATCGACATCAGATTTATTATCGAAAGCAGTTGATTAATTTTTCTTTATAATTCATAAATTAACTTTGTCATTAAAATCCTACGTGATTAGAATTGTAGTAAACATGTCCCATAGATTATTATTTACTATGATGTGTCATTCACCAAATGCCTTTCCAATCATTATTGGTAAGTACCATTATAATTAGTAAGTAATTTAAAATGCCTAAAACTTAATGAAATGAAGAAATGGAAATTTCCAATCAATGCTTTGACCAGAAATAAATTATCGCGTAATTATATATATAAAAATTGATAAAATGATCATTGTCAGATTATCTTTGAGATAGACATAATTAAAAAATAAACTAATTAAATGCTAGAATATTTGATTTAAACAAATAGAAAATGAAATATCTTTGATATGATAATATTCAAATTAATCATAGTTACTAAATAATTCAATTATTTATTTTTATAAAATTATTTTATCTACTTGAAGTTGAGTGTGTTATGTTGATAACATATTGACTAGTACTACTGATTTGTATTTCCCAGTGATAGTAGTATTAGAAGGTCGTACGGTTGTAACGATGCCATTCAAGATTTCCGATTTAGCTTACGGAAGTGTATGGAGACTAATACATTGGTGATTTGGAAAATAAAATAATAAATATAGACATTAAAAATTTTTCTTTGACTTATTCATTGAAAAAATAAATATTTATCGTTTTCTCATCCACTATTCGCAAACTAAAGTATTCTGTAGGAAAAATAAATAAATAAGTATTGATAAAATAGGTTCTTTAATTGTATTTACTTAAGGGCTCCAATATTTCTTTCAACAATATAATATAACTACTAAACTAATTTCTTTATTTTCATCGTTTACAGTTATCCTCTGAATCCCTGGATAAACAGATCACCAGATCACGGAATTTCCAATTACATCTAGTTTGTCAAGTGGCCAGGATTCACTTAACTCTACACAATAGTGAAAATTTGAAGACAGCATTTATTAAGAATTATCCATAGAGTATTGTTTTGTAGTCACTATGGTAAGTTTATTCAAAACTGGGATGAGCTGCGGATCATCATCATCACCACCACAGGTTCCAATGTATAATCGTCTAGCGCATTCTATCGTCAGAGGACAACCTTGCACTCATTTTAACCATGACGTTTATGTTTTTCAGGGTATTACCTCTGTGATGAGGGTCGAGTTGAACGAACATGTAGGGCGGTCTATTTGCATCATAAAGCCCGTTATATTGTCAGATCACCTCGCTCCACCCTACCCCTTGTGGGTGTGGCCGAAATTCACGTCCAAATGAATTTATGAGCTTTTTTAACTTATTCATACTTTGAAAAATCATCTGATATTCATTGATGAGCCAAAGGAAAAATTCAATTTGGGATTTAAATTGTCAACTGACGTGAAGAAAAATAACATTATGGATTTATCGACAATATTATGATGTTACAAACCATAATCTCTATTGTTTTCATGTGTAAACTTTTACCATCTTCTCGTTAATATATCAAGTGAAGCTTACCATCACCGAGTTACTTTAGATCAACATCAACATGCCGGACTTGTCTTAAGATTAAACTACTAGCTATAATCCTACTGCCAGGCAGAGGCGGCTCTTTTTGAATAAGTATACTAACACAGGATAATGGTGAATGCATTTGTAAGGGAATTTCCGTAGTCTAAGTTATAGATGAGTCCATGACATTGTACAAGTGCCTATGATATCGATCCTTTCTAGGTCAGGTCAAAAACAAAATTAGGACTATTTAATTAGGTGATTAGAGTTATTAATATTAGATCGGATCAGAAATGTACTTAGAGCTGGCATGGATTACAAGTTAAATGTACCTAAATTCCCCAACCTTTAACCATAGTAAAATGGTTTTGTTTTTGGGGGTTTAGGCCGATTGTTATCTATTACTTTGTGATGACGCCGGAAATTTTACAGGTTTATTTTCCAATACCGAACATACCTGTAGTTTGAAGGTCACATGTACGAAAAATAGTTGATTATTTTTCAAGATAATCGATTTTTTCATCAAATTTTATTGCATCATTTGGAACTCTCTTTTCTTAATTGATCTCTAATTAAAATTATAAATGATGTTAAGATATAATGGGCCATAAAGATATCAAAAATATGAATTTATTTGAACATAATAAACTGTTGGGAATAAAATGTACTTTGAGGAATCATATATTAAAATTAAAATGTGAAAATAAAAAGGTATAAAATTTTACATACACATTTCCACATTACTTTGAGGGGTTTACCCTATCATCTCTAATATCTCGAGATATATGTTGATATAATACAATAGAACACATGAAGAAAATCTGGAAGAGAGGAAATTATGAATGGAATTGTGGTAATAATTCCTCTGCGGTTATAATAATAATGTCAAATATCCGGGGATAACTGATGAAGTACTCTGAGTGGCCTAAAGATATAGAACTTTCCAGTATATTATAAATGGTTGGAATTTATTTTCACGGTTTTCGCGGGCAAAAAATGAACAAATCTGATAAGAAGAGATAAACGACATTATAAAAATTGTAGGAATGAGTATAAGCAACTAATGCCCGGAAAGAAGATAACAAGAGAGCGAAAGAGAGAGGGAGAAAAAGGCAGATTTACGCGGAAGAGTAAAATATTCCCCGCCCCAAGTATCATTCAACCCTCAGCTGGTGGGAGAGCTTGCGTAAAGGCGCCATCCAGCTATTGGGCTAGAGGCTAATATGGCGGTGTCAGGGTGACTTTGGTGGGGCGAGAATGCACGATATTAAGGGCTGCTCACTCGCTCTTTGGGGTAGTTTGTGTTGCGCCGTCATTTCACGCATACTCCGGACGGTACCGGTTCAGATAAGTCGTGTGTTTGCTGGCCCAAACACGCGTTACTACAATCTCTAAGGACTGAGTTTAGTTCAAGTTATAATCAGGTGGAATTTATTCAATAAAATATACCATAAAACGTGTATATTATCTACGTGCAAGTATCAAGAAACTATCAAGCAAGATTACACAAGGACATTTTTCACGTGGACTAGGAAGTTTTATTTTGTTCTGTCAAAGTGTATAACATCGTTTGTTTATTTTATTTATTATTCAGCTTTCTATTGCTATAACTGTGGAAATACGTTGGAAGATATGGCTCAAACTTGTAATCAAAAAAGAAATGTGTACACTATTGACCAGATTTTAGGCCACGCTAAAGTTGAAGGTATGTTTGTTTATAATTATTTTGTTGATCTATTAATTAGTGTTTCTTATTTATTGTAGATATGAAGTGTTGTCCTCTCAGTTAAGAAAATTCTCCCTAAAAGTTAGTGGTTGTAAAGTCTACGGATTTTAAAAATATTTGAATCATTTGCTGAAAAATTTCTTCATCGAACTGAACATTCTAAAAAAATGTTCCATGTTAAAAAAATTTTCAATGTTATTTTTTTTTAAGAAAATATTCAAGAGTCAAAGATTTCTCTGTCAATTTTTTTACATAAGTTGTCAGTAATTTTAAATCAAAATTATAATCAAAAAGATGATCTGTTATATGTTTTTAAAATGGTTATATTTGCTATAAAAATTTCTGTCAAACTATGGCTAACTTTTTTAAAAGTTTTTCTTTACGTAACTCAAGAACTATTTAATCCTTAAAATATCTATATCTTCTTTGATAACATAATTTTGCACCCATTCACTCTAGTAACGAAAAAAAAAAAAAATAATCCTTACTGATGCCTTCATTACCCAAGAAAGATATTTATCTCGTGCTCTTCAGGAAATAGTCTCAATCTTTCAAGGCACTTTATCCGCTCGACCTTTTAAAAATCGTACCCTAAATATTGTAAAAACTTTCTTCATTCAGTAAATCTCTTAATCTTTTTTACTCAAAGAAAAAATTTGATGATTTTTAATAAATAATTAAAGTACTAGAAAAAATAGAGTCGATGTAATGCGAATAATTGTTGTCCAGTCAAATGAAAAAAGCGTATTTAATTTTTTTATATTCTTTTAAATCGTATGATCTCTATAGAGCAGGGTGGCTCTGATATAACATTTAATAAAAATCAATGGAGCAAGCTTGGGCATGAAGTGGGTACCCCATTGTGCCACGTCATAAAAACATTAAAATCTCTCTATTCATGTTGGATTAGCTTCTCCAGACTCATGTGTCTGTTAGCATGCTCGTGTGAGTGCGATTACCTGGTGAATGTACTGTCTATAGCACAGAAACCGAGTGTAATATGTCTACATAAACACTAGGAGTACCTTTAGTTTGTGCATGAGAGAGTAGATAAATCTTCACTCACTCACAGAACGTTGCGTTGATGCTACGGTTTCGAAAGTAGGATTAATACTATTACCTATGATCCTCATATACATCAGTCCAATTAGTTAAAATAATAATCTCATAAAATTATTCCCCCAATTACTCAGAAACCAATGAATCCATTTGCATTTAATTTTACACCTTAATCTTCTTTTTTTCTACTTATCCCAATTATCATATCAGCTTATGAATTAATTTATAATACAATTTTATTACACAGCAATATTAATTAGAATAGTTTTACTAATTTCCTTGGTTAAAGTAGACTCAGTCAAAAAAGTTGTTGTGATTAAACATCATCATTGGAGATTGGAGTCATGTAAACACGCTGGTGAATGAACATGTGCGCTGGGTAGTTGAAGAGGTCTAGAGGCGAGAGGTAGAAAGATCGAGTCAAAGAAAAAAAATAAGGGGTTGTGTCACTACCCAGTTGCAAAAGGGGCGTGATGGAAACAAAACAGAGGATTTAATATTCGCAAATCCGTCGGTCAGACGTCATCGATACATGGATCACATTCGTAAATCGTCCGACTATATTTACTACAACGATGCAATAGTAGGAAGCTTAAAAAATAAAATAAAAAAATAATGTATCGTTGAATTTATTTTTTTCGATTCAGTACTACTCATTCCAGCCTAATATGGAATTTTTTTTTCTTCTTTCTCATCTCTACTACAATTTCCAAATCATCCCCAGTCCACTTCCGATGCATTGGTACTTTATTTTTTACCCTCATCTGCAGTAACAGCAGGGCTATCGAAATAGAGATTAAGTGTTGGAGTATTTTAAAATATTTTTGAAGATTAATTTATTTTTTGTTACTTTCGGCTTTACAGATCGTTCAATCCCATCGGATATTATGGATGGAGAGGCTAAAGATGGAGAATTGATTTCTATCAAAGATCACCCAATGCCTGATTCCCTTGATCTTGAAGAGCGAGACCGGCCGCGGAAGGTCAGAAGGTCTCGAACAACTTTCACTACCCACCAACTTCATCAATTGGAAAAGGCATTTGAGAAAACTCAGTATCCAGATGTTACCTATAGAGAAGCTTTAGCTTCAAGTCTAGAACTATCGGAGGCACGAGTCCAGGTTGGTTTAATTAAAAAGAATTTTTCAATTAGTCGTTAAATTAGTCTTTCATATTACTTTAATAAAAGTATGATTTAATAAATGAAGAATTCACTATCGATTTTCTTTTTTAGTAGGATTATATTCTTTAGGAGTTGGAAAGTTAATGAATTTTACTCCTCTTTTACCTCAGTGTTTATTTTGCGAATAAAAGACGAAGAAATTTTCAGTTATATTAGTAAGATTGTTGGTTACCAAGAGTAGCAGTGCTGAAGTATAGTAGACTGTATAGAGGATATAGAGAGTAAGAGAGAAAGTCTCTAAAGTCTCGAAAACCCACCCTGGAAATGCTTTCGCTCCTCAACCTCGTTGTAGTCCACTCAACTAATTACCAGACTATTGTTCAGCTTCTTGTCTAGTAATTTTCTTTTATGTTTCATACAACAATGATAAATTATCATGGTTGATTTTCTACTTCAAAATTGCTTTTAATCATCTGACTGCCTAAAATATTTCACAGAAAAAAATTAACAAACTTATTGGCTCTAATTAAATAATTTGCTCTTTTATTTCAAGTTTCTTTTGCATTTAATTTTTTTTTATTCTTGAATAAATTTAAGTATGTAGTAGTTAAAAAATGACCAGTAAAAAATGGTAGATGAAAATTAAAATATTAAATCTATTGTTGCGAAAACTGATATTAAAAAAATTCAAGAGTCGTTATCGGCTTGATATAAAAAAATATTTTTAAAGCTGAGCTTTTTTATTGGTATAGATTTGTTCGGAAATCATATATATGAATGGAATTATTTATTGGAGAAACAAAGTTTCATGTAAAAAATATTAATAAAACTCAATTTTTAATAATAGTGAACATTTTTACATGGTGAGATTTCAAATAAAAATTTTAACATTGACATTTAATACTCTGTATGTACGGAGTAAGCAAATTGTATAAATTGAAAATCAGAATTTTTTGAAGTTGGATATTATTATTGCAAAAACAATTAAATATTTCCATTGAGTTGAGAAAAATGAAAAATTTTTATTTTATTATTATTCTATTTTTATAGCTCAAAAACTCTTTAAAATTATTTTTTAAATTAAATCTATCAAGTTTCTGAAAGCTTCATTTACTGTTAAATTGACCATTTGGTTGATTTCATGAGCAATTATAAGCAAGAGCATTTTTATCATTAAAATTCAATTTCATATATTTTTTGCCATCAATGTTTGTTGAAAATAATAATATTTTAGCAAGTATCGACTGTAAAATAACTTTTCTGCTGTATAAAATTGGTTACTCGATTAACGTAACTATCTGACACCCGGGTAGCGCGAGTGAAATGATCAGAAGAGAGGAAGTGAGCGGGTGAATAAGCTCGAGGGAACAGAAAGCATAGGATGCCAAGAGAGACAGAGTAGCAGGGAATGGATGAGAGGATAAAGCAGGCTGTTGCGGGTCGCGACGATGGAATGCGATGCGCGGAGGGATGATTTCGCGAGGGCTGAAAAGAGACAGAGTATTCCGATTGGCCCATTGTGGTACAGCGAAGCGACAATGCCAGCAATTGGCCGTCGCTCGACAAAACCGCTAAATGATCCGCCAGGCGCAGTGGTGGCACGGCCACTTTATTTCAATCTCTTCCCCTTCTATACCCCTCAAATATCCTGACTACACCCGATTTCAAATACGTAATAGCTTGTGCGCTGCTCTCACCATTTTTTTCACATTAATGGACACGTTTCCCAACCTCTGTTCAATTTGACCTCAGCGCCTACGACGCGATACGATAATGGCTGATAGACCGATGATGCTTTTCCATCAACTGCGTGACCATTTTTCTCATTCAATGAATTTTCAAATTATTTCACACTTGAATACAATGCAGAAATGTGACATCAGATCATTTAGTAGAGCAACTGGTTGCTATCAAAAAAAACATTTAGACAAATTTTATCAAAACTCTGTTATTTGCTAACTAATTATAGAATTATAATTCAATTCTAGTCTATATATTGAGCTTCTCAATATTAATTTTTTTTTAGTTCAAGTGATTTTATTAATTTTCGACAACTGTTTTTCTCAGTAATTTCAAAAAAAAACCTTCGTGGATTATCTTTATGAAAAAATGCTGATGATACAAGTACAAAAACAATTTGCCTAGATGCACTGGTTTAATAGCTAAGCAAAAAAGAATACAAAATTGATAACAAAAGAATCAAGTCTATGCAAAACTCAGTTGGGTGCCCGCCAAAAAATTCATGACAGTTGAAGTGGAAAGTGAAAGCATTTAGATTGGTGAGGGGGTTGAAAAGACGTATGAGGAAGCTTGAAGGGGGTAAAGGGGTCCAAAAAGTCTGTTGGGGAATAAGTTGGTTGGTGAAAAGGGGGTTGCAGTACTCAGAGGTCCAGAGGAAATCAAGATAATTGTTAACAATTAACTTAATCAGCCTGGAGAGCTTTTGTTAGCTAGTCGATATACGTGCTCGTTCACTTCTTGTGGAGGTTCTCATGCTCTTTTTTACCCCTTCTGGATTACCTACATTGTCAGACATCATACGAGATGATCCCTCTCTACCATTTATATTCTCTTCCTCTCTCTTACCATCATTTTATTCTCGGATGAGTCTAATCCTCTACTAAATTGCTCGTGTTATTGTCGATGACGATAGAATAGATTTAATCATGTTTAATGAGTTACTTGAGTATTAATTTACTATTAATTCAACTATTTTTCATTGCAGGTATGGTTCCAAAACCGACGAGCAAAGTGGCGCAAAAAGGAGAAGACAATGCCTAGAGATCCAAATTATTTACATGTCAGACAAGGAGGTAAGGATGTTATTACCATTAATCATATTTGTCACAATAGTATAATTAGAAGACACCACACCTGCTTGTTGTGTATGACACGATCATTGTCACGAACAAAATTACGTTGTGGTGGTATGGAGGGTTGATATTCCAAGTAATTGCGTCCATTTCCACGGCGACCATCACCCTCGCTGATCTCAACCATCACCTTCATTTCTCGGAATATATTGATGTCTTTAGCAAAATGTCCATTTATTCATTTCTGACTTTTATTTAATGCCTGGTCGCTTATTTTACACATGAACACACTAAACTAGTTCACTATAAATCAACTACAATAGATAACCTAATTGTCTGACCATCAGATAATTTTATTTTTTCTAATGTACAATATTGATAAAAGTTTTATTTATAATCAGAGTGATTGCTAATTATCACTTGAGCTAATATTTGTTGAATTAACATGTTTGTCAGATGTAAATAAATTTTTTTTTATCAAAAAAGAAGATTAAATATTAAATAAAAAAAAATCATGTTTACCTCTTAATACTCAGTACTTATGCTTGTAGTACTTATATTCTATTCAGTAGCTTCAGAGACTCTTTTTCCCTTATTTTTTAATCAAAGCCTATCGATTGTGGTATACACTGAATATAATAGCCAAGTCTAGTCAATTTTGGAGGGTGAAATCAAGTTGAACAAAACGGATTCTCTCAAATGTTTGGAAACTTGACTAAGACTCTTCAATTTTCAATATTTTATTTACCCTCTTTTTTTTCTTTGTTCCAGACGTGAATGATTTGTCGCTCCATGCGCACTTGCTGCAGTCAGCTGGAGGCCTAACGGGTGGTGCCCCAACGGGACCAACAGCCAGTGGATTCCCGTGGTATATTCCATCAGTTTTTCCAACACCTTGGTCATCAAATACTCCTAAACTGCCATCTCTACAAGCTGCAATATTATCACAATATATGGGTCTACCTCTTCCTCAGGGTTTCGCATCCTTGAGTTCCATTCTTCCATCGGTCGGTTTTAATTCCGCCAATATTCTTGCCCACTCACAACTACAACAATCTCAGCAACGTGATCAAGTGAATTCGCCAATTCCTCAAATTCATCCGTTGTTATTGGATGTTCAAAATCTTCCACAAAATTTAAGTTCTAAACATGATCGTGATGATGATTCAACATCTTCTGAAGATGAAATGCGAAGACAGAGTGCTCAAGTCCTTAGGGTGAAAGCTGAAGAACTTATTCGAAAATCAGGAAACTAGGAAAGGAAGGAGTGGAGTGACGGCAAGTTTACCAAAGATGTGGCTGATTATTGATGATGACAAGAATGAACATGAAGACATCTGAAATTAAAAATAAATTTTAAAAGTGAATTCATTCAGAATTATTATTATTATTTTAGTTGTGAGTTATTTGTCATATAGGGTCAATAATACGTGTGAATCACTCATCGACAATCCCGCAATGGTTAGTGATACAATCTATTTTCGAGGCCATGTTGATTGTTATTAATGTAGTGGTATATACTGTCAATATACCACAACCACGATCTGTTTCAGTAATTAATTTTATTTATTTTTTAATTATTCGTTCGTTTATATAATTGATACTTACCTATCTTTCATAATTTATAGATATAAATTATTTTTACATTTCATCGGTATGATTACATTATGGTTGATTTTAACTCTATTTTTTTAACTATTTATTTTTAAGTAATATTACATCGTTGTGCGAATAATTATTATTCAGATTTATCATGAGCTTATTTGAGAAAATTAAATAAATGACAAAAAATTAGAAAAATTACTCTTTAGTGAAAAATGTTTTTTGTTTATGACTTTGTTGTTAAAGAAAATTAAAATATCTCTGATTAAAAGAATGCCCTTTTGGTCAATATTATTTTTTCTTAGTGCATTCAATGAGAAAAAAACTGTAAAATTAAAAAAAAAAACGAAAAAAGCATTGAAATATAAAAACATAATGAAAAAAAAAATGTTGCAACATTTTGTACAATATATTGTATTATATTTATGATAGAAGTAATTATATTGATGTAAATATGTAGGTAAATTATTATTATATAACGTTCGAAAAGAAAAGAACCAAATGAAAAAATATATATAAAACTATATGAAAAATGAAACACAATTGTGTCTAATTTATTTAGCAACTATTTGTCTACAGTATTGTGTATAAGTGTGTCATTGAGAACTTTGCCAAACATCTGGATTGGAAAGTAAGGAATTATTTTCATCTATTGTCAAATGAGAGAATGAGCTAAATTTTTGAGATTCTATAGATCTAGAAGTAGGAAATGATTCCCACGCGGTGCATGCCAACTCCCTATCCTTTTGTGAATAAAATGTATATGTTTTCTACAAATATATAAAGGCGGAATTTAGCTTAATCGTCGTTTGGGACGACTCAAGCTCATGTGGTTTTATTCGTTGTCATGCTGAACATTGTCGTGACACGCACAATGGCAATTACAAATCGACAAATTTATTCATGCTATCTTTATAAAATCGTAGTTGGGTTTTGGCGATCACAAGTTGTTATTATATTCCTCTAGTGGGGACGATGAGTCGTAAGCAATTATCTACTGCCACCTGTCTACTTCCATCAATTCATTAAACCGATGATAAACTCAAATAAAGGGGAAACAAGTGATCTAATCTACTGATAGCGTTGATCTACATTTATAAAAACACCTAGACGATTGTTTGATTGATATTTTTCATTATTTATTCAATAGATTATCTGTGTATGTTATTCCACTTGTTTAGTTCAAGTCTGGTGAGTGAAATTGGAAGACTTTTATTACTTGGATTATCAATTTAAAAATGTTATTTGTTTTGTTGATTTCTTGGAGTCTTAGATTTATTGAATCATCGACTCATAAAATAAGTCTGTTAGATTACATAATTAAAATTGTTTTTTCGTTATAAAATAGTATTTCAAAAAATAAATGAGTTTATCTGATTTTGATTTCTATCAATTAATGTACCACTTTGAGAATCATTACGTCATTAATCAATAAACACACATGTGATTTCTGTTTAATTTTATTTTTTTCGCTGATGTAATAATAAAATTAGTTATTTAATAATTATATTTAATTGTTCAATTTAGAATTTATAGTGTATTTTAATTTGTAGCGAGATGAAATGATCTTAAATGCTAAGTTGACAGTCACTGTTTGAAATCGCGCCGGCTTCGAAGGACAATTAGATTAAAAGCAGCACCTCTCGCGGCGGCTTGAGATCCATTAGTGCCCATTGTACCACCCCATTTGTAGCCTGTTACCACCCCCATTTAGTTCCAAGCAGCCCCCATCTCGAAGCACAGGTCCTTATTCTCAATAGTAATATGCTCACTTCATACTTACTCTCCTACCCCTTTCCTGACCATCTTATTCCATCCTCTTTTTCTTTAGATTTTATTTTTCTGTCTCTATTCTCGGATCTTTTTGTTATTCCCCACCGATGGACCTCATTTTTTCTCGCGTTGCGGGATAAAAGTCGCACCGAGTGTCGGTTTGAAAAGATTCTTGTAAAATGATCTGCATCGTTGAAACACGACTTAATGACATCCTCCTTTATTTTTATGTACTGTCAGTGAATGACATCAATTAGTCTATTATCTTTCGACGGTGAGTAATTAGGAGAATTTGCGCTATTTCAGTTATTACATCATCATCGTCATTTTCGACTTGGCTTCAATCTACGTGAGAACTTTGTCCCATTAGTGTTGGGTTTGAGGAAGAAAATGAATCTGGTGCAAATGGAACCTATGATGAAATAATAAATGCGTAAATATAAAAGTTAGGTAATTTAATAGAGTTGAAGAAATAAAATAAGTTGAATAAATCTTTGAGAACATAGTATGTTCGCACGTTGTTAACCAAAGTGTGACGTTATGCTTAAAAATTAGTGTCATTATGATGGTCCAGCATCCAGCTTTTGAGTGTACACACTTGATTAAGACCATTAAAAATCATTTAGGCATTAAGGGGTCCAGGTTCATTCGCGTCTCGATGTAGAACCCGTGAGTTTATAACACGGTAAGAATTGGTGTCTTTCCACCCTTCGTAACGTTGACAATACACCTCACGACGACGATACAAGCTTAGCCTTGTCACAATCTCTCTCTCTCTCTCTCTTGTTTTCTCGCTTGATGCTTTCAGTAACTGATATATACTGGTCGCGCGATTAAAGGGATTCTAGACCGACCACTTTCACCGATCCACCCCTAGACGATTTATTCCCTCCCTTGTCAAAGCATCAAGCTAAAGCTCCGGCAATTGATTTGACGACCCAGGTAATTTACATTTAATCCTTTTCAGTATTTTTTTCAAAACTCTTTTTAAGTTTTTCAAATTAATTAGCTTCAATTTAAATTCGTGAGAATATTTTAATGGAATAATAAATACTGGTTCCATGCATTAAAAATAATCTCTCTTGTAGGGGAATGTTTTTATTATTCTTTTCATAATTTTCATTATACTTAAACAGTTAATATTTTATCATTTAATTGCATTATTACATTTACATGTTGTTTATTATTTGTTGTCAAACAAAATGAATGTTTATAAATAATAATTGCAATTTAATTCAATATGAAAGAAGATAAAGAAAGAATTAAGCTGAGCCAGGAAAGCTGGATCTAATTTATTTAAAAATAAGCTTGATGATGGGTTGTATAATATAAAAAAAAGTTATAGAATTGGGATAGATATGTTTAGGAAGACTAAGAAAGTGAATAAAAAAGATAGATACACATTTAGTCGATGAAATTGAGCGATTTATTGCCGTAGTATAGGATTTTCAAGCAGTCAGATGATGCCCCAATGAAAAGATCAAAGCATCCGGTATTTCAAAAGTACATGACGAAAGGGGACCTTTTCCACGAGATCGATTCGACCGAATAGAGAACATTTTACGCTTGATGAAAGGTGCGTTAAGGCATGCGTGTGCATAGAACACCGTCGGGGGTCTTGAGCTTTGCTTCTCCTCTATATAAGTACACATATTGAACATTATAATATGAATTCATATGTACGTGCGATTCAATTTCTCTCATTTTGAGGAATAAAATTAGAATTTATAACTTGAATTCTATAGCGTTTTCAATAATGAAAAACATTTTGATAAGCTATACCTTGTAAATCAAACGTATATCTAGAGGCTTTATGATGACTTTGTAATCTAATAGGAATTATGAGTACTATCTATCTATGGAAAGCAGCTTATATATTTCCCACGATTCTATGACTTTGCTCTATCACATATTATCGAATTATCTACAGTAGTAACAATCATAATTATCACAATTAGTCCTATAGGAAAATTTAATTTATTCGTTCGACTTAAGTGTTGATATTAATCTATTAAAAGAAACATTAGTTCTATATAGTAACAACTGTCATGTTTCTAGCTATAATCGATAATTATTATTTTAATTATCATATTTTTAAAAATATCAATACTTATTCGTCAAATGTAATTGATTTTATTCATTATCGGTGGTAAAAATCATAAGAAAATACTTTTGGGGATAAATATTATCATAAAATCGGCTTTTTAATTATTTAAAATTGAAAAAATTTTCCGCGCTCTTTTGCAATCGATTTATCGCATACCGCGATCGATGATGCAATCGATTAGTTCTCCCGCGCATTGAAACAATAGAAGATAGAATCAAGATGGCGTCGATAATTCGCGCGGGGACCGACGCTATCCAGTTTTATTGAATGTTGTTTATATTAAACTCAGTGGTGAATGTTAATTTAGTTATAAATGAATTATAAAAGTGTAGTGAGATATTTTGAGAGAATATTTTCGATTGTTATATCATAATATACGTGAAAATGTGAACTTGAATTATTTGGAGTTTTCTGCCGGCCGGCTTCGGCGTCCATGACAGAATGGAGCATCATTTCGCAAGCTCACTGATACTTACTCCATTTATGGTAAGTAGTTTTTTTTACACTTAATTATGATTTGAATATACATAATCTATCTACGCTAATATGACTTTTATTTCAAACATACAAAATTCCATCTATATTTTTTACATAAAAAAAATAATTGGAGCAAAAATAACAATTTATCATGACTTTTTTTTTTATTACTGTAAACAATGCTCTACTTTAATACATTCAAAATAAAATAGTACATTAGCACGACTGTATAAAAGGCAATATTATAAAAAATATTTTTAACATATAAAAAATTTTCTTAGTCTTGAAAATTTTGATTGAATTTTTTTTTAATTGAAACAATACATAAGTAATGCAAAAGAATTTAGCTACCTTTAATCTTCGTTCATAGTCTATAAAAAAATCTTGTGAAAATCCATTAGAAATATATGCAAAACGGTCAAAGTGCACGTGAAGGAGTTTTTAAGTTGCTTAAAGAGTTGTAAAGTCTCATTCTCAACATTTATATATACACAGTGTAGTCTTGTAGTAGTTTTATTGTTATATATTGCAGTTAAATGCGAAAATTCTATAAGCAGGCACTCTCTTGGTATCCATTTAGCCGAATGTATAGCAAAACGGCTCATTCGTGGCGTGGTTTAATGGCAGTTTAAGGGGATTTTGGTGGGTAATTAGGGGCGGTAGGGAAAAAAGCAACTGAGTAAAGAATAAGAGCTAAGGAAGAATAAAAAAGAAAAGAATCTAAGTGTAGTGTTGTGGCGACAGTAGTCCCTATTGCTTCATCTTTTTCTTTATCTCTCTT